GTCTCTCTCCCTCTCCCTGATGGTTTTTGTATTCTGTCTCTCCCATCTCTTTCTGTCTCTGTCTCTCTCTCTCTCCCTCCTTCCATTCATCTCCCTCTATCTCTCCACTGTGATCCTTTCTCCCCCTCTCTCTCTCTCCCCTCCCCTCTCTCTATCTCTCTCTCTCCTCATGATCATTTTCTAATTCACTCTTCTCCCTCTTTCTCTTTCTTTTTATTCCTCTCTTTCCATTCCCTTTTATTCCTCATATATTTACCTTCTAGCTCCTTCTGAACTCTCTATCCATTCATCACGTTTATCGACATGACTTGTATATCACCTGTTCTCTCACTATCACCCCGATCTCTCATATATCTACTCCATACGTTGGTCTGAATGCATTTCCTCACCTTTTGTGTATCATATTTCATATCAGTCCCATAATTCTTTCTCTCTCTCTCTCTCCCTCTCTCTCTCTCTCTCTCTCACTGTCTCTCTTACCTTTCTTGCTTGCTATATATATATATATATAAACATATACCTCTGTCTCTAACTATCTATACTCCCCCTAACAACAACAACAAATATATATATATTTGTATACATATTTTCCTCTGTCTCTCTCTCTCTCTTTCTCTCTCTCTCTCTCTCTCTCTTTCTCTCTCTCTCTCTCTCTCTCTTTCTCTATCTTTCCCTCTCTCTCCGTCTCTCTTTCTCTCTCTCTCTCCGTCTCTCTGTCTCTCTGTCTCTATCTCTCTCTCTCTCTCCCTCTATTCATCTTTTTCTGGAAGTTCAAATTGATATTGCCACCGCACAATAACACATTCAAGGCGTCCTTGGCTTCTGTGTTTGTACCTGTAGCGTTGGAGAATCAGACAAAAGAAACGAGTGAATTATATTTCAATTTTGTTCACTTCGTTGCAGTTCTATAGATCGCAATGTGTGACGTCTATGCATTGCAGGCAGACCGAACAACCCTGTTCACATTCATAATCTAATCTAATATAATCATATTATAATCGCACTACGAACTCTCATGGTGTGTGCAGTGTCCACACGCCACTACCTATATTAATTGTCGTTCAGTTTATAGTCATGCATATAAAATACAAATATAATAAGCAAATATTAATCGACTACGAGGGTAATGGTAGCCCCGAGATCACCGAGCCGATGATAGTTTGTATCCATTGCCCAATGAGGTTAATATTTGTTTTATATCCCACATCGGCAATAGGTCTATTTAAAGTGAATTTTACATAGTTAAAAGAACTAATTCTGCAGACAGTTTAGCTTCAGTTAGATTTTACAAAGCGCATTTTACATTGGCATTTCGCGTAACCTATTTTGCTACACTTATTCAATGGGCAAGTAGGGCAGCAGCAAAAATTACTGTACAAAAGTCCTATCGCAGGGAGATAGTACTTATCTATCATTGATCATGTGACCTCGTTTAGACCAATCAGATTGCAAGATTCTTAATATGCGGGATATAATATTGAATATATATATATTAAATTCATATATATATATACTAGTACATATATGTGTTTGTGTGTGCGCGCGCGCGTGTGTGTATGTATGTAAGAAGGAGAGAAAGAGCGCTTGTATGTGTGTAAATATAAGATATAATATTCTGTATAACTTTAAAGGAGTGAGGCACATTAACCGGGGCGTTCATAAACGCTTATGCCCCTCCTGCCAATTAGAAATAGAAGATAAATTTCACTTTATTGTGCGATGTTCCTTTTAGAGAATAAAGAGAAAACTACCACACACATACACACACACCTAAATTTCGGTCTTGTGAGTCATCAGTCTGCTGAACCCTAAAAGGATTTGTTAGAATGCCCTACCCCCAAGAACGATATTGTTGGTCTAGATCGAGAGCTGTCGGTCTAGTGGGTTGTCTATTCATCTGTCAGTCTCGTGGGCTGTAGTCAAGATGTCAGTTGATAAAGGCATCTTTTAACAATGTTAAATCTGTGATGCATGGCCCTACATGTTATCAATGTCTGTGATATGGTGTAATATTAAATCCCTAAAAAAATTGCGCTTCAAAATGATCATGAAGTGCCTCAAAAGGTAAACATCTTTGAGTGTCCGGTTTAACCATAATTATTTCCCCCAATAGACTGTAGTGTTATCCAATCATAAATATCTTAATAATCAGACAGGCGATCGGCTCGCAAAAGTCATGGAGTTCCTGATTGACCTAAAGGTTTATAATTATGATTGCAGCACGAGCTAAATCCAAGATTTTGCTTCAGAATCTGAGACAAAGTTACCAAATCCCTTTAAGGAAACTACCTATGACTATAACCTCATACAATAACATTGCATCACATTTACAAGTACATGTTGATCCCATCTTCACAGTTGCACATTAATCCGAAATTCTATATCTTACAAATCTCAGGTTTTTTTTTTTAATTTCCAAACGACACGTCCAAAGTCCATAATTTGTTTTGGAGAATACCGTTGATGTTTTCCAAATTATATCTGATGTTGGTATTCGTATTACACAACTGTTCGGATAATGATAGGTAAAGTGACTGTCACACTCTGCCGTGTAGGCCTACCGTGTGCCACCGTGCGCGAAAATGTCTGCGGACGGTAGAGAACGGCGAGGGCACACGGTGATTCGTTATCAAAGCGGGCAACACGTTAATAGGGCGTTGGCGCTTATTTACACCCGGTGGGACCCGGCGAAAGTTTTGGGCATGTTCAAAACTTTGGCCGGCTGGCACCGGCCGCAAGTAAGCGGCAAGAGGACGGTGTTGAACGGTATGAGGTCGGTATGAATACGTTATGAAAACAGTCACACTAAATGAACACGTTCACAACACGCTCATAATCCGTTACAGAACGGTGATGAAAAATGGAGAGCGGACTGACCGTTGCCGTTCAAATCGGGGTATTTATGGCAGTCGTGTCATGACGTCAGCAGTCCGGGGACTCGCTCACAGGACGCTCTGAGCGTGACGCTAAGTGACTGGTAGGTGGCTGCTACAAACCCGGTGCACACGTTCGAGACCCGGTATGGGCCCGGTATGGAAACGGCCAAAATTTTCAACAAAAGTCACTCTGGGCGGTGAAGACGGTAGAAGCACGTTCAACACCGGTATGCGCCCGGTGTGAACGGTCAGAAGATGGCAACGAAACGGTGAAAAGATTAATTTTATGAATTTTTTTTTTTTTTTTTGCGGCCGGGGACAAGTTCGCTCAAAAACCCAACGTTCTGGACTATGTTGTTTTTTAATAGCCCAGCAGGTGGACGGTAGGCCTACACGGCAGAGTGTGCGAGCTCCATAAAGCTGTGATTATAAAATCCCCATGCCCACTTCAATTTCAACCGATTTCATTGAGATATTGCTTCTCTCTATATATCCTTCTCCTTCTCTGACTCACTCTCTTCTCTACCTACCTCGATCTGGGGGGGGGGGGGCGTTTCAGAGAACTTGTCATCAGTGACAAATGACATTTTTTGTTATAAGCTACTGAAATACTTGCTTCTGATTGGCTATCAGCAGATTTGTCACTGATTTTAGTCATTTGTCATTGAAAAAAACGCTTTAAAAAAACGGGCCCTTGATGTCCTTCTTCCTGTGTCACCTTCTTTCTTTGTGCTCATGCTATACATTTTACTTTAATGTTTTAGATGTCAACGACTATTTATATTTATCACCTATGTATTTCGAGTATTACTGTATCCGTTGTTCATAATGTGTATTTGTATTGCGTGTAAAAATCCCATGTTACGTTACTTTTCAATTTATTTGACCTGGACGAATGAATTGAAAACTGGCCTACTGGGGGCGCCCGACGGATTGAGCCGTAGCGTACTCATTGTAGTGAGAGATATCTTTATGTAGAGAGAGAGAGAGAGAGAGAGATCTGTTACACACGCATAGGCCCTACCTACGCGATCAAAGGTCAATTCACGAAGCTCCAAACAGTTCCCTCCCACAAACAATCTCAATCCATAGTCTATGGGAGTGAACTGTGTTGTACATGCAGCTCCATGATAATAACGACTGACAAATCAGTAAAGACTTCCGGTGACGTAACTATCTCATTCAACAAAGTAAGCTATGTTTTGAGCCATAGCATCTTAATGAGAGACATAGTTGTGATGACAGACACGTGAAGCTCCAATACAGGTCCTTCCCACAAAGGGTAGGCCTACATGGAAAGAACTATTCATTTAGACTTCATGACTTTTACATTTGGACTAGCACGACTTTCTGGAGTAATTGTCTATAATATACTAGCTATGGCTTAAGTTCACCCCTCACACACAAAATCTCTGATTCAAGATTGAGCGTTTAATAACTCTTGTTACTGCATTATCGTAGCTGACATTGGTATCATTGAAAAGCCTGTTGAATCACCTTTGCAATTCGTAATGAATGGGGGCAAGTCATAAGTGAAATGTTGCAAAATGCATTGTTAATTCCTCCACTAACTACCTCAAATGCATTTAGAACACACTCCACCTCCAAACAATTGAAAATTTACTGTTGGCAATAACTGCATTTTTGCAGCATTTCTCTTTTGACTTGGCTACAAATTTAGATTTTGGGGCTCAGACTTGAATTGCAGAACCTTTTTTTGAAGGAGTTCATTATACATTGAGAGTTTTTTTTAGACCATTGCAAATAAAAGTCGTGCGCAAATCAGACACAGGGCAATGGGTATAGCAACGATATATTGCATGTAGTATTCCATATATGCGATCAAAACGAGTTTATCTCTAACTTGGCCTTTACATTTTCATAAACGACAAACGTTTCATTATTAATCACGACCACACAATGACACGAACACACTTACAAATGAACTAACAAACAAACAAAAACGCTTAACATTTGTTGACCGTTAATGCAATATTCAAACAGTCGAAACGCGTTAACTTGTGTCAATATTACAGTATCAGAATCGCACTGTCTGATACGGTAGCCTAGCAGTACTCAAACTGTTGGTCCGTGGTTCCATAGATCTCCCTGTATTATGTTGACACAAGTTTTCTGACGCATACATCTAGATCTGCCAATTCATCGTTATTACGAACGCAGACGGACAATGAACTAGGATGATATTTGCAGGGAGCTAGAGCCCTTTGAATACCTACACTAAAATGTGAGTATATTGATATATTATGAGAAAGCGCTAACGGGACGTATATAACTACTTTTAAAAATACTTGAAGCGACCTCAATGACAATGTTATTCCCATTGAACCACTGCAGGTACCGGGTGAACCCTTCATTAAATCTATGGAAATGATACCTCCAATTATTATTCATTTTAATATAGTAACTTTTCGTACCATTATAGTGATACCAGGGAGTTCCATTCCAACTCCATAGTGATACTGTTGTTACCTGTACCAATATATATATATATATATAACAAGCCTCAAGAAACAAATATAAGAGTTCTCGAGATGTACTGTTCTTGCATGTGTGTGCTTCCCCATGTTATCGTTCAGTGAACATGCACCTTGATGTGCTTTATTGTTTGCTACTTTAATCAATGACATGACAAATAGGGTTAACGATTTAGTGAATGTCAACGCGCCTGCTATACTATGTTTCTATATAGGCGCTACTGTGCTGTTGTCATATAGCAGCCAATTAAGCCAGCCATTAATCAGATCTACACAATAGAAAGCTAGATATAATAGCACCGAAATTACACGTAGCTGCCCGTCATTATGCTTTGTCATGAGTGAAATTTCCAAGACTTTCGATCTGCCTGCTAGGATATTTAAGCCGCATATTTATAGCTACTTGCGCCCTCTATATAGCAAACAATGCCTAATCGGTGACCGTCGGTCCCCGTGATATCCGCTTTTTCTTATGTTAAGTGAGAGCTAATTTGATGAGATAACCACCTGTCAGTGACATAGCAGGGTGGTCTAATCCCTCCTGTAAACTAGTACAGATGGGCTTTAAAAGCAAAACTGTATGTGTGATTTAAGCCTATCTGCGCTAGCTTGTTAATATTAGGCCAGGAGGGATAGGACCTCCCTGCATGGTCACTGGCAGGTGGTTATCTCATCAAATCAGCTCTCCATTAGCATAAGAATCATTGGTATAATGGAAACTATATTGTACAAGCATTGCTTTTTAATAGGTTCCTCATATTTCACGTTAATGATTATTTACTGCCATCATTGTTTTTTGGTCATTATGCTTTATCTTGCTGACCTTTATAATAGGTAAACTGTTATTTTGAGGAATGTGAAACAATAAAACTAAAGAAACAAAACAAAGAAAAAAAAGGTACCATGGGGACCAACGGTACCGCTTAGGCATTGTTGGCTATATAGGGGGCGGGAATAGCTACAAGTAGTGCATTTCCACTTTAGATCCTATAGTGAGTTGTTCATATTCACGTTCTGTGGACAGTGTATTCTGGGCGATAGAACTGAAGCATTTTATTGTAGCGTATACATGATGAAGATTGTTAGGGAATAGGTATGTATTTTTAGACCATTGTAAGTGCACAACCGACTGCATGAGATTAACCTTGGCTAACATGGTATAGCTAAAGGCTAGGATTAGGGACTTTAGATTTGCACGTCGACATAGTCGACTGCTACGTGTGACGTCCTTTTAAGCATTTAAATAGATGTCACACGTAGCAGTCCACTATATGTGTCGACGTACAAATCTAAAAGTCCCTAATGAAACACAGTTCAGGGTGCAGCGAGCCGCAGCGAGCATGCAGAGTACAAACGCGTGACGTCATATACTGGCCAAGCTGACAATTGCATGGTTCCAACTTCCAAACAATAGACTGTTTACTAACATATTCAAATGTGTGGATGTTTCTCTCCTGGGAACCATAATTATAGTGATGAGGTATTCCATTAACCTGTTTTTAATGAATGAACTATAATACTTGGAATCCATAATACACTACTTGTTGATATGTCGGACAAGCTTTAGGCAAGCTTTCAGGTTGTCATCAAGAACAACCTGTGTTTAAAAAGTGTGCATACAATTTGAACATAATATCCGTAAACTGGTTTAATCTATAAATATATACAGTTAACAACTAAATTATTCATATCCTTACCAATTTTTGCAATTTTTTAAGTATATGAAAAATTAAGTTGTTCCGATTTATTTTTCTTGGTTGAAAATATGATATACTAAATCTTACATTTAAAGGTATCACAAAAGGTTCTTATTCAACCATTTCACATTTCATTCATGAGTTACGGAGATGACAAAAACAGGTTTTTATCTTCGCCCCCAATATGCCCCTCAAGATCAAACACTGGCATGTTTGCTTCGTCAATACTGCGCCTTGGTATTTATATTTCCTAAAAACTATGTACGGTCACATGTTGTTTGCACCCTTGAACCTTTATATATTTGCGTGACACAAATATATAATTAATGATTTGAAACCCTTCTCTTCAGTTAATTTCTGAGCCCATAACAGCTGATCAAAGTCCGTCTCTTATTCTACTGGGTCACAATAACAATTGGTATATGACCGAAGCGTATTTGTTCACTCGGTATTTATCATATTGATGAAAAAGGCAACAATGTCTTGTTATGCTAGTAGACTTTAAAGGTTAAAGGCCGGTAGTGGTAAAATTGCGGTTCAAGGGTTTGGGGTGCAAAATATCCATTCAATATTGTTTTAATATTGCCTTCAGAGGTTTACATGGCAATACTTAAACCTAAATTCGAAAAAAACAGACATAAGAGGTATTGTCAGGTACCCATTTACACCTTTACACCATTAGAGAGGGTCAAATATGGGCAAAATACCTTGCCCAAGGATGTAAGCACCGAGCAAGCATTGAACCCAGAACCTCTCGTACTAGAGTCAAAAGCCTTGGCGAAAAACAGAGCTCCCGTACCGACTGGAAATCCAAGTACAGACTGATCGCTTTTGAGAATAACTACGAGGCCGCTATTTTTGTTTAGCCAAGGTCTCTCAGTCTAGTAATCTGTCAGTCAAGTAGGCCGTCTTTCTCGTGGGCTGTTGTTCTAGTGGGATGTCGGTCTCGTGGGCTATTGCATCGTAGCGAAATATTAAAGTTAAAGGGGTAACTGAAGATTGTTTTACCTGACTGCTAACTAGAAAGTATGTGTCTGATTGTAAGTATACAACCAGGGGTCGACGGCTTTGAGTCCTCTCTGAGGAACTTGGTAATGAGGATTAATGCCTTACCAAAGGGTGCTAGCGCATCGAATTGGCTTCTAACCCGGGACCTCCCGGTTTCTAGACCATTGCACTTCAATTGCAATTCTATCCTTGAATATTTAAGAAATATCTCCAAAACGTTCAGATTTGTCTCATTTAGATATGCTGATCAAATATCATTTATTATTCTGCGGGGTCACATTGACAATTACTGAATGACCTTTAATAGCGTGTTTACACAATATAATATCCTTCGTCGGTTTAGGTAAACAATATGACTTGATACAGAGGTAGCTAGCTAGACTATCACGAATCTGCCGGTTAGCCTGGTATGATGGGAGATCATTGTGTCCGGACTCTTAGCAAATATTGAAGCTGTCTTTTTTCCTTTGGAAAAGTGAGCATGGAATAACACTATAATTTACGACACATACAAAATCAAATCTTTACAGATTTAGGAAACATTTCATGCAAACGTCATCAAATTACACTTTGAAACAGCTGCCCGAATATGAAACGAACCTATCTGAACACACGGGCCCGAATTCACAAAGCAAGGTTTGAGCTCAAACCTCCTTTTGTTTCGCCAAACCTCCTTTTTGTTCTTTACAAACCAGGTTTGTAAAAAAACGCGTTAAACGCGTCATATGACGTACGAAAACCAAGGTTTGTCGACAAACCTCCTTTGTGAATTCGGGCCAGGATGTTTGGTATGCCGTATACGGAAACATGTATCCAAAGGTGTTCAATTACAAAATGGCAAGAAAGGTCTCCACTTATATAGTAACCAGGCGCGTACACAGGAGGGGGGGGGGGTTGGGGGTTAAACCCCCCCCCCCCTTTGGTATTTTTTTGTATGTAAACCCCCCCCCCCCCCGCTTATTCAGCGGCTGGCTGAGTCGTTGCGAAATTTCCGGCCCGATCTATAAATGTTAACCCCCCCCCCCCTTGAAAAAATCCTGCGTACGCGCCTGATAGTAACAGATTATTAATGAGGACCAATATAGTGGGAATGTGTAGGACTAATGGTATTGATTGAAGGGGAGTAATTACGCCAAAGTACAATGGCATATTTACTGTACAAAGGTTTAATATAAGGAAAGTACCAAAGAGCAAATTCACACTTAACGAGATGAATAAAAGCAAGAACTATAATAGTGACTCAGCTCTAAATTGTAATCTCCATCTTCATTTCAATTTTGTTTGTAGTATAATCCACCACGATGGAAGAAGGTGCATATGAACAGCTAGTCGTCAACCCCGATATAAATGACGACTTAAACAACGATAGTGATAACCCGAGCAAAACATCAAGCATCAACGGCAACTACATCACACTACCCGACTCCTCATCGCGTGCGGGGAACGACTTCCAGGTCAGCCTGCAGAGGGCGCGCTCGCGGCACCTAACGGTCGAAGTGCCACTTCTTCTAGTGGCTTTGAGCCTCAGTATCCTCGGCACATTGCGATCGGAGTACTTGCGGGAGCGCGTCGCCACCGATGTCTATCATGTTAACGTGTCGATGAATGACTCGAACTCGTGTGGTGGGAATACTTCGAGTGTAGAGGATGATATCCAGGCGACGACATCCACATGGCTACTTTATCTTGGCGCCATTCAAGCCATTCCAGGTAAGGTTGTGTTTTCGGGGCAATTTTGTCCAATGTTAAGTTTCAAGATCATCATATTCCATTTCGTTTAATCCCAGTTTTTCCTTGTTTTGGGCCCCGTTACACCAAGCCAAGTTAGCAGCAGTTGAATTTTATTTTGCAATTGACTATGCATGGCCAGAGTATAGTCAACAATTTATTGTACCATCGATCAATAGGCCATTTTCGTATGCGATTGGCGTTCTGACTATTGAGAAACAATTATTCGTAACAGGTAATTGGAATAATCCGTATCAAGGCATTTCACAAAAACCTATGTAATTTGGCTACATGAAGAGGGTAAGAGCTTATTGTCAATTTAAAGGGTTGCGTCACAAACAGAGCTATATAGAGTGCGACTATGTATATCAACTGGTAAACTAATAAGAGGAAGGAAGGGAAAGAAGGGGCGACCATCTCTTTGTAGACTATAGAATGCAGACGTGAGAGCAGTTAGTAAATGGAAGTAGAATGCTGATGTTTGAGGAATAAATATTTGATAACAACAGTCGCAAGAGAGATGATCTTCTTTCATGTAACTATCTTTACGAATTTACCTTGCAGGCCCATGATTTGAGAATGTCTCACCGATAACAACCAAAGCAAGATAGATGATTCACTTTAATCTTTATACTAATTTGTGCCTTGCAGGTCTGTTCATGGCCATAATACTCGGTTCCGTAAGCGATCGGCTCGGTCGCAAGCCCGCCCTCGCTTTGTGCGTGACTGGTCTCCTCATCAATACAGTCTTCAACATCGTGGTGATCTACTTCCATTTCCCAATACCGGCCTTCATCCCTGGAGACCTTATCGGGGGGCTCTGCGGGGGGCTTGCGCTGCTTCTCTCGACCAGTGCTGCCTACGTGTGCGACGTGACCTCAGCGAAAATGCGAACTTTTCGGATCGTCGTCGTAGAGACGGTTTTGTTTGTAGGATACGGGATTGGACAGATAGCACTAGGATTCACCCTGCAGTACAGTGCGGATCCGACGTTAAACAAATACCTTCTTCCTCTATGGATCTCCCTTGGGTGTGCGGTGGCATCCCTTGTTTATATTTTGTTACCATGGTTACTGATCGAGACCGTGGATAGGAGACAAGTTGTTGGGAAAGGATCGCAGATATCCAAGGTCCTGGTTGGAATCTATCAGTTGATAAAGGTAAGTTGACATATACACATGATGTAGTTTAAGAATTGACTCATTGTAATTTACAGGTTCTGTCTGATATCTTTCTTCCAACGGAGTGCTAAATCAGACGAATTTTGCTTAATTGTTTAGCAGGCCTCCTAATCAATATACTGCTCACAAGGCGCAGAAATGTGCCATATCCAATACATACATTGGTGAAGAAAGTAAAGTATTCTGAAGATATTTCCGATGTCCATATTCAAAGATGACTATTTTCAAGGGTACATTCTATCAAGTTGTATTCAAGGTCGACTCGCATTGTTGCATGCGCGAAAAGAAGAATTCCTAGAAATGATAGTAAGCGGTTATGACCCGGTCATACCGACTCAGAATGGACCTTTCATGTCCGTTCGAGGAAATGTAAATTTGTTATTCAATCTATTGTTCTGGGCCCTGTTTCATAAAACTTGTTATCAATAACAAGTTACAAGCTACTGTTATAAGCTACTGAAATCATTGCATCTGATTGGCTGAGAGCAAATTTGTCATAGAAATTTAGCATTTGTTATTGATAAAAAGTTTTATGAAACGGGCCCCAGGTCTTGTCTTGTGTCAGTCTTGTCCGTGTGATTGGGATATTTCACTCTGTCCATGATAGAAGAGGACCTGACCTTCGTTTACAGTCAATAGCAGCCGGGGAAGTCTAGGTCACTTTTAAGGACCTCCATAGCAATTCATCATCAACTGCTGGCAGTCAGGCAAATCAGGTCATTCCTAAAGACCTCCTTAATGATTTATCCTTATCTTTAATGTACATGAGTGATACAGGAAACATCAAAGACTATAAAGCCACTGGTGCAGTCAGGAAAATCTGTTCATTCCTATGACCTCCTCAGTGATTTAGCCTCATCACTTTTACTATAGACTTTTGGTGATTTTCTTTTGTTCTTTCATGCAGGAAAACACGAATCAAAGAAGAAGGAAAGTGTTGGGCTATGCTGTCATCATGATGTTTGGTGTATTTGTAGTCCAATCCTCTGCTCAAGTGTTCGTAGTTTACAGTTTGGGGGAGCCCTTCTGTCTGGGACCGCTGGATGTGTCCTTCGTCAGTGTTACCTCGGTGATATCCGGGTCCGTAGGTAAGTCGATCAAGAACTATTCCCTAGACCTAGCTGCCAGCTAAGGCTGAACTCTATCTTTATAGCGTGACTGCCTCAGCGCGTCGCAATTGCACCACCGAGAGCTAGTGAGCGAACTTACTGGGCGAAGTCACTGGGCGAAGTCACATGGTGCCACCGGACAAACGATAGGCATACGTCACACAAATCGCTCGCGAAGGGCGGGGCCTAAACCCATTTGGCTGAATATCAGCTTCTTTTTATTAATCAATCATACGCTAACTTAGCTGGCGGGCACAAAAAAAACTCTCTTTTTAGTAAGATGTTAAGACATTCTCCAAAAAATGGGCAGCATTCGGCGCGTTTAAGGTGACATTCGGGCACCTTGCTTGGTGAGGTGTTGTTGCCCCGAGCATCGGAACTGCTAATACATAAATATCCAGCCCCGTACACCTTTGGGACCAACTGGTATGTTAGTTTCATCTGTCTCTATGAACAAAGGACCAGTTGACTGCATGGCGAGGGCTGTAGGCTGTTGGCCCAAAGTGCTGAACACGCTCTGGGACCAGAGGGATCGAGTCCAAGGACCGGTAGGCCTGAATGAATTAAAATGTTATTTACCGAAATGCGTCAATATATCATCATTAATATTCCTCTTTTTCCAATGAGCGACATCAAAATTCAATATATGCTTATTATTATATTTACCATCCATCTGCTATAACTGATTTGTTCAGTAACATTGCGGCCTTTTTTTGTTTCCTTTCAGGAATGATCGTTGGCGGCGCTGTTTTACCACGGCTCTTTTCAGACAACTGGATACTTCAGTTTAGTTTGTTGAACTCCATGTTGACGTGTCTGATTACCGGCTTTGCTACCACAAAAACGGTGCTCTATATTAGTAAGCATTCTATTTTTGGACTATTTTAGCAATTTTAACCCTTTCAACACAGGAATCATTGAAGGGCTAAATTGGTGACCTTTCCTTCTTCAAATTTGCAACATTTAGATTTTTCTTTCTAGTCAACTCCATGTTGACGTCTATAATTACTGACTTGGCAACCACAAAACTGGTCCTCTATCTAAGTAAGCATTTTTAGTCTCGTGGGCACTTTAAAACTTTTACGACAGGAATTGTTTAAAGGGCTAAATTGATCACCTTTTCGTATTCAAATTAGCAACATTTAGATTTTCTTTTCTTGCTACCTTAATCCAATAATGAAATACTAGTCTTGACAGAATTCTGCTGTCACATGTCATAGTTGTTAATTACGAACATCTTTCAAACTTTCTCAATTTGTTGAGTTTGAAAAATATTTAAAGTTTATATAAAGGTATTGTCAATTCGTACGAGCTTCTGTCAGCTCGAATATTAACCCTTGGCCTACTAGAACCGAGTGGTCCCTGTATTATACCTATGCGAAGGAGAGAATTCAGTAGTTCATAGGTTAGGTGAAAAGACACATTTGATGTCGGCTTATGTTCAGGGCCCTCTTTCATAAAACTTATGATCAATAACAAATGCTAAATTTCTATGACAAATTAGCTCTCAGCCAATCAGATGCCATGATTTCAGTAGCTTATAACAGTAGCTTGTAACATTTTATTGATATCAAGTTTTATGAAACAGGGCCCTTATTGGGACGTACGGGAATTGTTTCTGGAAACCGTCAAAAGTCTAACTTCTTGGACATCCCATTGAAACGAGACATTGCTTGTGCTTTATAATTATCACGCGTTTTCCGCGAACTTACACTAGTTTAATGACGGGCTCTATAAACGACTCCCGTACTATAATTATGTACGTCCATTTTTGCCTCTCTTCACCCAGGTGTAGATGGGAACCGATATGCCAGAGCGGTACATTTTTGACCGCCAGGTATGACAGGGGTTATAATATTAACGCACCAATGAACCGTTTCATAAAACTTTATATCTATAACAAGTTACAAGCTACTGTTATAAGCTACTGAAATCATGGCATCTGATTGGCTGAGAACAATTTTGTCATAGAACTTTAATCAGTTGTTATAGATAACAAGTTTTATGAAACGGGCCCCAGGAGCGTCACGACGTAACAAACATGTGCACTAGATAAAAAGCCACCAGTACTATTACTAAATTTTACACCGATTTTCTTTGTAGGTTCTGCACTGAGCCTCATAAAAAACCTTTCGTTCCCTATGATACGATCACAACTCTCCAAGGTGTCTGCACAACACGAGAAAGGTAGGGTTGCTGTCTTGTTGCCGTTGCTGATGTTGTTGCTGTGTTGTTGTAGTGTTGCTGCTGTGTTGTTGCTGCTGCTGTATTGATGTTTTTACTTCTGCTGCATTGTTGTTGATATTGATAACGCTGCGGTGTTATGTTTGTTGCTGTGTTGTTGATGTGTTGTAACATCATCACTGTTTTGCTGTGTTGTTACTGTGTCGTTGCCGGTGCTGCTGTTTTGTTATTGTCGTGTTGCAGTTGTTTTTGTGTTTATGTTGTTGCTGTTCTTGTTCTTCTTCTTTATAATGATCTTCTCTGGTTGGACTGGGGGACTTCAAATGGTGTTCATGTATATAGATTGTTCTAAAAATCAGCGTTGGATGAAACTTTACATAGAGAATTATGTTCGTACCGCTGTAGGTCTACAAATCTAAAATCGTGGGCACGCCAAGAACATTGAAGGGATTATTTTTAAAGACATTTAATCAACATTGCCCAGTTCGCTTTGGACTAGGTTTGTTACATAAATTTCGAAACTCAGACTATGTTTTTCATTTTCGTCAAAATGTAAATGACTATACACGTTATAGGAAGCCAGGTTCGATCTCCTTGGAATGATTGTTGAGTACCGTTTATAATACCTTTATGAACTAAGATTCCCCCAAGACAATCTGAAAATGATTTTCGTTTCTGTTGGTGCTTTTTTCTATTCTGTATGTACTGTTTCATTTCTATGATTGTAAGGGGAATTGCTGTGTGTGATTTGTGCAAGCCTTTAGCTTTTTAATGCGATTTCCCAGGCTCAATTTTACTATATATTAAATCTTTGTATTTCATGAAATAAATCAAATCAATTGAATTGTTTATTGTTTTCCTTTCATATACAGGCTTGATGCTGGCTTTCATTGGCTGCATGGATGGACTGTCTGCTTTCTTATCACCGCTCATCTCCAATTCCATCTACTCCAAGACACTTTATTTCTATCCCCCTTTCGTATTTTTCTTTCTGGCTGTTCTCCAAATCATCCCTTGCATCATTACTGCGTAAGTATAAGATCTACACTGTGGGCATTACAGTTATATAGGATAATTACCTCCTGGACAACCACCCCCGGAAAATCCCCCCCCCCCCCGAGCTTAAATACCCCTGGATAATTACCCCCTAGGACATCTAACCCCGTAGACAATTCAAACCCAAGGACAATTACCCACGAAAAAATTCTGCTTTCATCATTCATCATTTCGGGGGGGGGGTGTCCTCTGGGTGGTTGTCCTTGGTTGTTCCTCGAGGGAGGGGTGTTTATCATCCTAGGGGGTTATTGTCCTAGGTTGTAGTTTTCTGGGGGGGGGGTTGTCCTGAGGGTAGTTTCCGGGGGTAATTTTTATGGGGATGATTGTACAGGGGGTTATTGTCCCTTACGCGCCCATGAAGTTGCAGTAAACTTTCCTGTACTCCTTTTCATGAGATTATTATGACAATATAGATTATCCTTGATAGAGAAAGTTTATTCCTTCTCAGAACTTAATCCATCAATCTAAACATGAAAACATCCATGAACAGGTGTTGTTTCATGTAACAGTGGGCATTGTTTTTAGATCGCAATTCTGCGAACATTTTAAAACGGCATTGAAACCGAATGTTACCATTCTTAAATTAAGATTCCTTAAGCATTTCACTTGAATTTCATCGTTTTTCTTGTCTCTCTTTCATATATTGTGTTCACAGATTCCTGCAATACAGCCAAAGGAACTCGTACACTCAACTTGTAAACGACAACAGCGAGAAGGAGAACTGAATGAGAAGAAATCTGTTTATTAAAATGCTGGTTTAGATATGACTCGGTAAACCGTCCGTTGTATCATTCTTATCTTTTTTTAATTGCAAATGCATGACAACTGCGCGCAAGAAAGGTAATACGCGTATTCACTTAGCTCTGTGTTATAAGAACGAGAAATGTGAAGCGTATCACATTACACTTTACGTCATTTTTTTCCCTAAACGCCGCGGTTTACCGCTTTATATCTGAACGAGGCTTAAGTTCACTTCCTAAATATATTCATTGTAGTTTGCTCAGCATTGCGAGGGTCTGTAAAGTGGCGCCTGGCCGGGTTGTTCCCCAGGGAGTGGAGGATGTGCGTACATGTTTTTTACAGGCAAGCCTGGATCCGATGAGCGGGTTAATTATATTTGTGCGAACTTGAAGCTTGATGACATCATTATCAATATTGTTAATAGCATTCTTTTAATTGTTTATTCTCAGGAATCAGCGCTATACCTCACACACGATATAGGTACTATCTTTATTAATTAATTGTATATGAATCAAGTCACACACCATTGTATTAACACATTCCGAAAACATTTACAGCCAATGAACATATAACATCATAAGTGCACTTATGCACTATGCCTTGTAACCTAACTTGTAAGAAACATGTTTATAGATGGGCAAAGTCTTTTATACAGCTTTCGAAAATATTGTTTTATTCAATATTCGCTTTGCCAGAGATAATGGATGCAAATACACGTAGTCATAAAACTATGTATAAACTAGACTTACTTTATCAAAAAGCTATAATTAGCATATATATTTATATTCATGTCTATACAAAAAAGCATGTCAGTGTGGTCATCGGACTATCATATCATATAATGCTATTAATCAGTAAAACAGTTGTCATTCAGATGGCTATAAAATGTGAATGTTATGCCGTTAACGGGTGGAAAGACGGGGTGAGAGAGAGGGTAGGATTTGAAATACAACTCAGGGACCCGTTTCACAAAGCCTTTTTTCAATAACAATTTACAAAAGTCAATGACAAGTCTGCTGATAAACAATCAGAAGCAAAACTTTTCAGTAGCTTATAACAAAAAATGCCATTTGTCACTGATGACAAGTTTTGTGAAACACCCCCCTGGTTTTTAATTTAAGAACATGACATCCGGGCCCAGTCTTATAAACAGTTATGATTAATCCCAGCTTATTTTCGATTGATATACATCGCAGCTATGTACATTAGAAACAGAAGACTTCAAACTTGCTCAGGAGGCGCGATAGCTCAGTCGGTAGAACAGTGGTCTCGTAATCCGGTGACCCGGGTTCGATACGGTTCGAAACGCTAACGAAACTAACGCAAGTCGATGCGCTAGTGCCCTTTTGTAAGGCATTAATCATTATTACCAGGTCCCTCGGAGAGGACCCTTAAGCCGTCGGTCTTTCTGGTTGCTTACTAACAAGCATTTATGCTTTCTTAGTAGTCAGGTAATATAACCACCACCAAAAACTTGCGATTGATTCCGGGCATGGTGGCTCAGTGGTTAGAGCGCCCGCCCCATGAACGGGAGGTCGTGGGTTCGAACCCCGGCCGAGTCATACCAAAGACTTATAACAATGGGACCTTCTGCCTTCTAGCTAGGCGATCAGCATATTAGATTGGAGAAGGGTAGTAATAACATATTATGTTATGCAGGGCCCGCTGGAAGAGCAGTTTCATAACTGAAGTGGCTACCCTGGGTAAATAAAACGTTATTATTATTATTATTATTATTATTATTATTATTCGGACCAATCGTAACTCTTTTTAAGACAGGGCCCTGAAGTATCCAGTTTTCTACATCTGTAAAAATCTACTTTAAATTTGTTATCAATTTCTCAAATTTTGAGTCATGAAATTCCTGTGGGAAATCCACTACAAAAAAACGAATACACGCATATAATTATACATATGTGTATATAAAAGTTGAAATAGTTTGTATACACATAATTATAATATATGTGTATTTATTATATATGTGTAAACATATCAAATGAAACAATTCGGATAATACTCCGTCACTGTAATATATAAATAATGATTAAAACCATTGTTTATATTTTCATTTATATATATATATATATATATATTATATACACATACATGAATAAGAGTTGCGTTTTTGAGCGTCATCGTTTTAGTTTTATCATAATGACTCAAGTTATGAAATAACTAAGTTTGTTCAACCTTAGCAATTGTTAATTTTAGAATTGACTCTGAAATAATCTATTGCTAAATGAAAATTTTCGGTGCAATGCTCATTCATTTTCTAATTACATGTGCAATAAATACAAGGAGTTTGTCAAAGAAATGATATCAAGGTCATATAAGCCAATCGGTAAAATATTATTCTAATTTTTGTACTACCACTGTATAGAGATGTCGTGGTCTAGTGGTTATCTCACTTGACTCTCAATCAAAGGGTTGAGGGTTCGAATCCCAGCCCGGCACGAAAATGTGTGTGCAGTTTTATAATAAAGCATATGCTGAACTATGTTACTGTAAGTGCCGACACCTAAGCAAAATACATGCGTCTTGTATCGATTAATTTGTGTAATGAGACTAATGCTTGTGGTAAAAACTGAATGGTGTATGCCTCTGTTGCACTCTTAACAAAAGGGATGAAAGATTTGACTCGAGGGTAAACATTATACATGTATATATATATATATATATATATATATATATATATATATATATATATGTATCAAACCGGGGATTTATTACTTTGGGCATTTCTTTACCCAAGGACACGGGCAATATTTTGTCTGTTTTGAGGAAATGATTCTTTCTTTTGACCCTGACTGGACAAATATAATCTACGTTCGGTTATACGAAAATGTCGAAGGTTTGTCGGACACATAACTATTGTTGTGTTGGACAAATATTTATCCGTTTCTTTAAAGAGTGCAGGTAATTATGAGTGCATGTAATTATGTTAATCGATAGAGAGAGAGAGAATAACGATAGAAGTAGATGCAGTTACAGGTGGGTATACTGAAAGAGAGAGGGAGAGAGAGCCAGATGTTAAAGAAAGGAAAGAGAGAGAGAGCGAGAGAGAGAGGCAGATAAGACAAGAGCGGAAAAGGAAGGGAATAGACAGCTTTATGGATAACATAACTACGATTTTGCATAAAATAGATAACAAGTATTGTTAGTGTCCCAAAACTCTTCATTAGGGCGCTTTTCGTTAAAATCATCCTTTTGCGAACTTCAAACTAAATACCTCAAAATATTCTGCGAATGTCGGTGATTCATTCGTTCCTGGGCTTTATGGGCAGGTAATGGAACCTAGGATACGGGAATTGCGGTATAATGATAGACAACTTGAGAGAATAGAGGGTGTTTTAAAAGGGGTTCAAGAATGAAACCAATGCGAAGCGTGGGAATGAATCACAGTGTGAGTGCATTAATTTTTACCCTCCATTTAACAACCGTCAATACTCGACTTTAAACTCATATTGTAGATCCATCTTATAAAACAAATAAACCATGTTTTTAGCTCGTGCATAGTAATATGCACTGCAAACACAATGAGACGACCAATGAACTCGACAATTAAGTCTCGTGCCGGGTCTCGTGCAGCGCATATATTCACTGATTCACTCGCAAACATGTTTTATTTGTATATTAGTCATATTAATTCGTTGGGACAATGGTTATTGTTAGGTTCAACCGTGAGATTCGCAATCACATGATAGTCCATGCAACGGAAACGGGAAGGTTGTGGATGTGTATTTTTAACCCCAGTTTCATTGGAAGAACTATTCAAAATAACCATTAACTTGCATAATGTTAGCTCAATCCTGGATGCATTATAAAGTGCACGTTTCTAGTTGTGATGTGAAAGTTTATACTTTTTCGCTATAAAACAATTTTTAGAATAGTTTAGACTGTTTTTTATATGAATTTCTACTATTTCATTTCTTTCAACTATTACACGTCAGGATTATTGAGCCATAGGATTATTCTACTTTGACGTATTACAATGGACATATCTGAAGTATTGTACTATAGGTTTTTTTTTTTTTTTAATTCTGCTGTATAAATATAATATGAACTGTTATGCTACAAGTCTCCGATAGTTAACTAAAAGTTTAGACTACTGGTAATTCTACTCTGCTATGCGACTAAAAGTTTAGAATAATTTCTACTGTAGATTTTGAACCAACCTATCATGAGTTTCACATTCAGGTTTGGACTAATATATGTCGGAGCAATTGTTAATTGCTCCGACTCCATTCCGTCAAAATCTGTTTGACTATTTCGATTTTCAATTTTCAATATGGGTCTGCGATAAGAGACTAATAATCTTACATCGAGTTCATATGTACAGGATCACTGACTTCCAATATCGTATAGGGACGTTTTTGGTGTATTGAGGTGAGTATATTACGTACATTGTAACTATATAGGCCCAGTATTATCAAAGACTATTTCGATTTTCAGTTTTCAATATGGGTCTGCGGTAAGAGACTAATAATCTTACATCAGGATCACTGACTTCCAATATCGTAGGGACGTTTATAGCATGTCCCTGATTGAGGTGAGTATATTACGTACATTGTGACTATATATAAGCCCAGTATTATCAAAGAGATATCTTTTTGGCATTGGGCATTCGTTGTTTGAATAACATGTATGTATCCATTGATGGTTATGATACTTGCTTGTGTATATAGACATCATGTAATTACGTGACTTGTATACTGTGAATACAGATGTGACGCACATAATTTTGAGGTGAGATAGAATTCAATCAGCCGTATATGCCTATACCTTTTTAGCACGGTAATATATGCCTTCGCGATCGGCAATACTGTATCTATACATTATTTTGTCTCTCTCGTTTTATATCTTTATGTTTGTCTCTCTCTCTCTCTCTCTCTGTTTGTCTCTCTCTCTCTCTCTCTCTCTCTCTTTCTATGTCTTTCGCGCTCTTTCTCTCTCTCTCTCTCTCTCTCTCTCTATTTCTTAGTTCCCCCATCTATTTCTCTTACTCTCTCGCTCCCCCCCCCCCCCCACACCCGTATCTAATTCCCTCACTACCCGTTGACCTGTTTACATAAACCGTCGGAGACCAGCGCCTGTTTCATAAAAACTTGTTATCAATATCAAATGCTAAATTTCTTTAATAAATTTGCTCTCAGCCAATCAGATGCCAGCATTTCAGTAGCTTATAACATTTATTGCAACTTGTTATTGATATCAAGTTTTATTGAACAGGGCTCTATAGCGTGTAACCTGTGCGTATAATGTACATAACCCGCAGTGTGTTAACGACAGTAAAGCATTTTACAACTATTATGCTTCAATATCCCTGTATAAAAGCAAGGTATCGAGTGTTATTTGACATTTGCATCATTTTGTCTGTATACTATAGTACACATAATAGCTGTTGCCCATAAAGTCGGAATAATATTTCGTACATCTTTCAATGAAAAAGCAAGATTATCGAGTGATATTTAACATTTGCATCATTTTGTCTGTATACTACACATAATAGCCGTTACCCATAAAGTCGGAATAATATTTCGTATGCCTTTCCATGAAAAATCAAGAATATCGAATGGTAGGCTATTTGATATTAAATGTTGCATCACTTTGTCTGTATACTAGTACACATAAAGTTGGGATAATATTTCGTATATCTCTTCATAAAGTAATTGTGACAATATGGTTTATGATATAGATGAAGTTTGATTATAACATCTTCTCAGAACCTTAACCCCTAACTTGACAACTGGATACTCAAATTCCCATAGGCGTAATACAGAGCCTCCTGGTTCCCGTAGGAAATGCCAATGGGGTAATTAAAATGTATATAACTCTTTAGATTAATCAAGGAAGTTATGAGCTAAGACATAAACTCTTCCTCTCAAGAATAAACCATATTCTCACGATCACTTCATGAAAATAGTTGTGTGAGAAAAAAAAGTATTTCAACTTTTCATGCTTCATAATGATGTAGGTAGGATACCAATAACAGGGCAAAGTCTATCACGAGTGGACCCGAGGCCACCGTTGTTGTGACTCACCCAACTGAGAAACACTCCTATTTCACAATAGAGGATTAGAGGGACAATGAACGGTGAGCCTAGCTACCTATATCTGTTTCATCTTCAAGGGCATGCAGCCAGCATAATTGTTTGTGGGGGAGGGGAAGCTATAAGTAGTCTGCAGGCACAGACCCTAATTTGACACTTAATCAAAAAAATCATTGTGCCTTGAGAGAAGTCTAGCCCAGCTACCAACTAGGCGTTGTGGCGTGCGCCTGTAATCCAGCTAACAGTGGAAGTTACAAACTGATTCAGCCGAGGACGCAGGTTCGAAACTGAGTCACGTCTTTCGGATGGTGATGTTAAAGGTCGGTCCCAGACGTAAATAATCATATCTGATTGATACACGTCTGTAAAAACCCAATTACACACACACACACTGGTTGTGTCAATATAGGTCAGGAGCAGCTACAGTACATGGCCTATAGTAGTCTTATAGTGCAGACTCACTTTTACGACTGAGCAGGGTTTGTGCTTGCAGACTAGCTAGTAAGGGTTGTGTGCGGGTGTGTGTGAGGGGATATGTGTGCGTGCTACGTTTGTGCGTATGTATGTGTAGGTACATAAGTTCCTTCGTGTTTGTTGTTATTTTTTTTTTCGTAGTTTAAAGGTTTGCTTCATCGGTCACCTTGTCTGCTTTAACTCTGTAAAATGTTGTGATATATTGATTAAAAGTGCAAACATAATATGTATTACAGAGAATGAGTTAAGCGCATTCCAGTTCATTGACATGCGTAATTTAAATGAGAGAGGGTACTCATATATCAACTTGTTGTATTAACATTTAACCCTTCATGGTACATTAACGGGACGCGATCAAATGTCATGCTAATGACCATGTCCAGTGGCGGATCCAGGGGTGGGCCGAAACGGCCGCGGCCCCCCCCCCCCCCCCCCTATTGGCGGCGCAAAAAAATTGAGAAGGAAAAAAGAGGGGAAAAAAATGGGGGAAAAAAAGAAGAAGATAAAAGAAAAGAGAACAAAAAAGTAAAGAAAAGAGAGAGCGTTCAAAAAAGAGGAATGAAAAAGAAGAGAGGAGCCGGGGAGAAAGAAAGACAACGAAATGGCACTAAAAATTAGTGACAGTAACGACGAATAAGGGAAAGACAAGGGGAAGGGGGGGTGCGTAAAGGCGGATGCATTGAGGGGAGGGGGGAGGGGTGACTGGCCGTATTCTTATTTTTAGGTTATGCGAAACTGAGTCTAAATTATGCTTCTTTTCAAAAAAATCTTAGCATGCTTGTTTATGTTAAGCCGGAGTGCATGAAAAGGTTAGTGTAGAAACACTTCTGAAAAGGCCGCGCCCGGCCCCTCCAAAGAACGGCAGAATGGTAATCCATAAATAATGGATTATTATGGGGTCATTCTTGATGGCTTGGGAGTCGTTAAAAGGAGGGGGCCGGCCCTACTAAAATGGTAGTGACGGTAACGATGGATAAGGGAATAAGGAGGAAGGGATGCACATGCAGGCGCGTACGCAGGGGGGGGGTCGAACCCCCCTCAAATTTTTGTCAAGTTGTCAAGTTGGTCCTGTTGTGTATAATGCGTAGACCAGGGGTTCTCAAACTTTTTCTTTGACGGTCCAGAAGCGATTTCTATGAAAGCTGTAAGGTCCGAAATGACACTTGTATACTGAAGATAATGAGGCTTGTTTTTGGTCTATATCTGATCCAAGGAGAATTGTTACAGTTTAAAAAAAAACAGAACCGCCAGTGCTTCCACTCGTTTAAATAGAGTTTCCTGAAAAATAACATCCAATATCCTGGAATTTGAAGGAATTTTCTTAAAACTTTCAAAATGCCTCTTACGTGGATTTCTTATTTGGATGAATCGCTATGGCGTTTTAATATATATTAATTATTGAGTGGGCTTATTTTGCTTTCTAATGGATCCATACAACATGGCAGAGCTTGAGGGGCCTGGCAGAGCCTTTTCAAGAGAGAAATTGTCTTTAGGAGAAAAAAGAGGTTATTTCTAAAATGAAATGAAAGGGTTATTGACTTTCAAGAGAGAAAATTGTCTATAAGAGAGGAAGAGAGGTTATTTCTAAAATGAAATGAAAGGGCTCTTGTCAAATAGCCCTTTCATTTCATTTTTTCTCTCGAAATAAACTCTCTTTCTCTCTTATAGACAATTTTATGAGATGGAATCTTCAATCTGAAGCCTTTTTGTGCTCTTTGAAAATGGCACACTGAATGGGGCAGTGCAATTTAAATTCCAAGGGATGGATTAGAGTTTTTATCGCTCTTGAAAGTCAAATAGCCCTTTCATTTCAGAAATAAGGCTCTCTTTCTCTCTTATAGACAATTTTATGAGATGGAATCTTCAATCTGAAGCCTTTTTGTGCTCTTTGAAAATGGCACACTGAATGGGGCAGTGCAATTTAAATTTCAAGGGATGGATTAGAGTTTTTATTGCTCTTGAAAGTCAAATATCCCTTTCATTTCATTTTAGAAATAAATTCTAATACATTCCTTGATATTTAAATTGCGCTGCCCCTATTGTGTCCTCTTTTTAAAGAGCACAACAGAGCCCTCAGATTAGGCAGCAAGTAGCAAAACAAACCCGTAACACTGGACACAACATTCAATGGGATGATGCCCATATCATTGAGTTTGAAACGCACTTTTGGTCAAGAATGGTAGAAGAAGCATCTGCATAAAAAAAGATGAATCCTTCACTGAATAGGGATTCTTGCTATACACTTTTACCTTTGTGTAAATAATAAAAGGTCCACGGGCGTGGTTGTTAGAAGCTTAAACTACATAAAACTCTCTCCAATTTTGCAGGGGGAGAGTCTTTGTCGGGAGTCTTTAATAATAAAAGGGATAAATCCTTCACTGAATAGGGATTCTTGCTATATGTTACCTTTCTTCGCTCCAGTGATCTCGAGGCAGCAGACAGCAAGAAATTGTGTAAATAATTTGCTGTTGCCGGGAGTCTTGCATGGGGCGGAGCCCCAGGAAGTTCTTGAACTTTAAACAAAATTAGGAAATTCCAAATAGTCGTCATGAGCGATAGAAATTGTAATTTCCTCCTTGAGAGTCACATAACCCCTTTCATTTCATTTTAGAATTTAACCTCTCTTTCTCTCTTAAAGACAATTTCATATAACTTCTGTTTTCGTATTGTTGTACTTTTGTCCGCAGACTACTTAAGCACATGTCGATCCAACTCAGTCGGAAATGTAATATGTAGGCCTAAGTGTAAAGTAAAGTTTCATGTTCTTCCTTTTTTCTTTCTTTCTTTCTTTCTCTCCCTCTCTCTGTCTCTCTCCTTTTCCTCTATCTTCTTTTTTAAAAACATTATTCTTTCTTTTCTTCTCATTTTTCTGTGTGTGACATGCGTTACGCGTACGTCTATCAATGTCTTAATATGGTAGATTTACATTTTGATGTTTCCCTTTGTAGGTGCATCTTATTCCAGAAAGTGCCCTATTTTGATGGTGCCCCCCCCCCCTCCCCCCATGTATTGATCTTGATAAAAAAATAAATTTCTCATTAATTTTATTTCCAATATATCTAATACTTGCACTAATCTCCAATATTAAAAAAAATCGTCTACTTTCTCTCAAGACAACATTATATAAAGGATTCATTAATGCAAGGCTATCTCGCGAGTAATCTCTCAATTTCTAACTTCCTGCATTCCTCATCTCCCAGTCTCCCTTGCTTTAATATTCCTCGTTACTTCCTTCCAATTGAACTCCAACTTAATTGATGTTATACACTGTATCTATTCTTCAACTACAGGTAGATGCAAATGTTACTCAAAATCCATTATATAAATCACACTCAGGATACAGCCAACTGACGAGAATTGCTTCAATCTATATTTTACATGTATCATTATGGTTTTGGCTATGGTTATGGCTATGGTGATGAGTTGTCTAGGTAACATGTTGATGTGTTTGTTAAAATGTATTACCATGGTGCACCTTCTTGGCTGGGTATGTATTAACGTAAGTTCGTGCCTTTACATATCACAGTAGAAATAAATGTTTTATATTAATATTTGGAGATTAGAAACACAAACAGTTTCCATAACCGTTCAAGTGTTTCAAGAAAAAGTTAAGCAAACTTTCTCCTGGATGTAAATTCACACTAGCGTATAGCACTAGCGAGCTCTCCGATCTAGGCTAGACTCTTCGCGAGCGGTTTCATTGGAATTTTAAGCGGTTTCATTGGAATTAATCGAGAAATTCCCCTCGCTAGCGTGTAAATAAAAAATACGCCGGCCGGCCATACGTAAATGGCAGTGACGGTAACGACGGATTAAGAGGAAGGGGTGCATACGTGAACTACAAGCGTATTGGGATGATTACTATCATTTTAGAGTGTGCAATCTGGGTCGGAATCCAGCACAATATATTTATAAAAAAGAAGTTCACATAAAAGCACTCATGATAAAGCCGCGCCCGGCCCCTACAACATCATTTTGGATTTTCAGATGATGGGTCGGGTGGCAGGGGTAGGGGGCAAAGTTCGCCCCACTCTTTAAGTACCCCCCCCCCCAAAGGGCCACTTTTACTTTGTAAAGAAGTGCCCCTTCCCCTTTTTAACTCGGATAAGCGCACATTTCATCAACACATGTGCCCCCTTTCCTATCTGATAAGGGCTATTTAGAAAAATGAGGCCCTTCATAAATAAAAAGTGTCCCTTTTCATCTCTGGTAAATGACCATTTTCATATATGAGAAGTTAATTCTTTTTACTTCAGTGCGCTCTTCACCTCCGATAATTGCCCCTATTCAAATATGAGAGATGCTCGTTTTACTTTGAAAAGTACCCCTTCCCCTCCTGATAAGTACTCTTTTCATCTATGATGGGTGCCCATTTTCACCTTTGCTAACTGCCCTTTTATTTTGAATCATGCCCCTTTTCCTTTCTAATAAGGGACCTATCCCCTTTTCATAAATGCCCCTTTTCACCTCTGATAAATCAATTTCTGATGGATGCCCCTTTTCCGTCAACAAATGCCCATTTCCCATACTCATAAGTGCCCTATCTCATTTCTGGTGAGTGCCTCCTTTCAGGTGTAAGAAGTGCCCCGTTTGAACCTTTGATAATTACTCTTTGTACCTTGACACATGCTCCTTTTCTTTTCTAATAAGTGTCTTTATCCCTTTCGCACGTAGGCACGGGGGGGGGGGGGCACGTGCCCCTAACCTGCTCATCATTAGTCTTGCACCTAATATAAAGCGACTAAGAGTAATTTCCCCTAAAAAGGTCGCTCGCTCGCTCGCATTTATAGATGATACAATATGTCACTTTAAAAAAAATGTGTTTTCAGTCTTCCGTGATGCTTATAACCCCATCATGATTTGTTTTTTCCTCTTTATAAGATGTAATTTTTCACTCTGCGACCTCACAGATCTTACATTTTTTCTCGCTCGCTTTGCTCGCTCGCAAATGAATATTCAGACAATCACACCCAGCCGAAAGTGTGATGCTTAAGCAATATATCTTGTATGATATATAAAGAAAAACAAATATTGAAATCGTCCCTGATAATGGCATCACAATGAAAGGGTATATACCAATGTCTAAAAAAATGTATATTTTCGCTTTGAGATTTCGCTTTGTAGGTGCCCTTTTTTGTTGGTGCTTTCCACTTTGGAAATAGCTCCGCCGCCCCTGCTTACGCATTAGCGCCAGCGTTAATTTCACGCTTGCGTGCACAGGGGGTGTCTGTGTGTGTGTGTGTGTGTGGGGGGGGGGGGGTCCTCTCTAGCTCTGAAGCTGATTTTTTTTTTTACCTGGATTCGTGCGATTCGGTTAATACTTTTAGAGGGAGTCTGAGGGGTGATGTGCCCCCCTCTGAAGCTGACATTTTTTGGATTTTTGAAACAGGATTCGTGCGTTTTGGTTAATACTTTTTTTGGGGAGTCTGATTTGATTTCAAAACACCTGCAGTTAATGCGGGATTGGGTTGCAGCCTCTCTTTCCCCGAAAATTTAAAAATTACCAATATGCATTTGTTTTATCTTATCTCGTATATTTTGGTGACAATTAACACTTTTCACAACATACATAAGCTCAAATTTCCGCTCACTCGCCAAATTATTAAACCAGGAAATAGATATTGGGGGAAGAGGCTTCAGCCCCCACTGATGGAAATGTCAAAAAAATTGCGCGCGAGCATAACTTGAAAACGGGGAATGTTGATATCGGACAAGAGATGTGACGTGAGCATGTTCCCTTTCCAAAATAATTGTGCCCGCTTGTAGGTACCAGTACACTATTAAAGTACAGTGCTTCTAATATGACCTTGTCAGTATTGGTAAGTTTAAATAACGGTCTGCGCGAATTTCGAATTTCCGGCCCCCCCTATTGGAAAATCCTGGATCCGCGCCTGATGTCTACTTAATGACTGATTTTTTTTCACTACGGTATGTCCGTCTGATGATCGACGCCCTATTAGGTAAATGTACATGGTCATATGATCTGAAACTCTATTCAGAATACTTTTCAAAGGAATTTAAAGGCTATATAGTTTGTAATTGATTTTTTTTTCTCTTTCGTAGAGTCATGGAAGCTGATAATTCTACAATTAATAGCAGTGGGGTCTCAAGCAAGCCCTCTGACGTAGCAGACCACACTGAATATGCTTCTTCTCCAGCTGAGCAAACCACACAGTGCCAGGATGTTAAATTTGAAGGTCAGCACAAGAGGGCGGTATCTCGTTACATTACAGTTGAAGTACCTCTCGCCCTAACAGTTCTCACGTATCAACTGATAGCAACAATGAAGGTATTATACATTTGTCAATTATATTCATTTTAGCCTATTTTGAATGCCAACTTAAATAGACAGGCCATACATTCCAAAATCGAGGGACAATCAATAGAACTGATGTACAAAAACAAATATAGATATATTTAAAGCCCCACTGTACTAGTTTGGCTAGGAGGGATTACCTCCATGCATGATCACTGCATGACGGATGGTTATCTCATTAAATCAGCTCTCAATTAACATAAGAAAAAGGGGATCATGGGGGACCAATGGTTACCGATTAGGAATTGTTTGCTAAATAGAGGGCGCAAGTAGCTATCAGTAGTGCAGTGGGGCTTTAAAAGGTTGTAGTAAGAATCGCATCGTGTAAATGTAGTCAGACAACTCGGCAGAAGCATTGCATTTTACGGCATGCAAGGCATGGCCACACAGAGAAATCTTTCCCGTTGGGGACCGGTGGGAAATGCAATTAATTATTGATAATTTATTGCATTTCTGTTGTTTTTTTGTATTTGTGGGGGGCTGCACCCTACCCTAGCCCCCGCTGCGTACTTTCGTGATTCAGGGGCAATCAAAGGCCTAGTAATTGTGAAGCTCCAGGATCAAACCCGTGTCGAGGTGCTATATTAGTGCCCTTTTGTGAGGCATTAATCCTCATTACCGTCAGTTATGACTTAAGGACGTAGGTCCCCTAGTTGATAAACATAGTAGCATATACACATGCTTTAGCAGTCACGCAAAACGAACACTCGCAAATTGTTATTCAATAAAATATGAGAATGCATACCATTACCTAAATCTATTAGGAATAAATCATTGTCAAAATCATTCCATAAATTAGGGTAAACAAAAATATTCCACCTTCATCACAAACAGTCCACTTGATCGTCTTGGTGTTTTAAACCACCCTCGATTCCATGTATAATGCTTTGAATCTGTACTGTATTTCTGATTTGAATGTGTACATGCTTTTAGTAACTGGAATTAAGTAAAATTGAACTTGAACTTGAACTTGAACTTGAACTTGAATTTCATTATTTCGTTGCTTCCAGGCTGAATATCTCCACGATCGACTCTCAGCGAAATACAATCATTCGCTGATCCACAATAGCTCAGCATCGACGTGTGGGCCAAGCACAAATTTAAACGAAAGCCATATCGGAGATATGATTCAGGCTGAAACCTCCACATGGCTTCTCTACCTGGGTCTAGCGTATTCCATCCCGGGTAATCACTCTTATGTTTATAACGTCTCTTGCGTCACTCCTGTTGCTTGCTATACCTGCGCTATTAAATTGAGCAAGAAGGAAAGTAGTCCAAAGACTAATTTCTCCTAAATCTAGACTCTCATCTTACGAAAATCGTTTTACAGTGGCTGCTTTGAAAACATAAGGCCTTGGAAATTGCCTTAGATTGTTGTTTTTTTAAAGATGAGGAGATATCAAATTCCTTACTGTCATAAACACGATTACAAAGAGTTTTAAAAATCAACTTCAAGCCAATGTCACGGCTTAATAATTGTATTGTATATAGAGATTATGTTCGGATCATGTCAAATGTCAGTGACATATGTTCGCACAATGTGTTGATTTCGGGAAAGTCTTTCAAGTTTCAAGTTTCAAGTTTTATTGTTCCACATTTTACAGAAAATATAGACATACATATAAACTAAAAAATTAAATAATACAATTGTAGTATAAATGAGCACATCTCATTGATTCTCAATTCATAAAATAGATTAAGTAGGATGTGAGGAACCTATTAAAAAGCAGTGCTAGTATAATATAAGGTTCCTGGAAAAAAATAAGTAATTAAGATGACAAACATCTGATCGTGTTCACCATCATTTCATCTCTTTATCTCACAGGTGTCTTCATGGCTATTCTTGTCGGTTCCCTGAGCGATACCTTCGGCCGCAAACCTGCTCTGTGTCTGAACATCATAGGGAGCTGTCTACTATCCACGGTATACCTATTCATCGTCTATTACCAAGCGCCGGTCGAGTACCTGCTGATAGGAGACTTTATCTCCGGCGTGACCGGAGGTCAAGCCTTGCTTCTGTCGACCGGTGCGGCTTATGTAGCGGATGTGACGTCAGAAAAGTCCAGGACGCCACGAATCATCTTTCTCGAGACAATATTCTTCATAGGTTAGCAAAAAAATAGAGGCTAATGTACGCGTAATCTCCATTTGCCACTATCCACCCTGGTTTTAAACGGATGCTGGTAGGTATTCATTGATGTTGTGAGCACTGATATCGGTAGTCCAGATAGAGCTAGCGTAATATTGTGTCACAGAATCCCCTCAAAAGTAATAAGTGTAGTAGTCGAGTAGTTTAAACAGATGACTGGAAATGTAAATGCAAAAGTTCAGGTCGACTCAGGGAAAGGATATTTACCACCTAAGGCCATAATGGCACTATTACCTTGATTATATATATTTTATTTTATTTTGATATATAGATGGAGGTACGTCCAACCTAACTACCAACCTAAATCTAACTACTAGAATCTTGTTTCTTATTTTATCTTTCTTCGTCAAATGTACGTATCAATCATTTTGTACATTTGCTTTTTCTGTGTTAGGTTTGAGAACATTTAAATACAGACTGTATTTGTAAGGAAAAATGATTAGAGAGGAAAAAGTTGTTGTTATTACTGTTTTTTTTAATTCTCACAAAATGGGCAGTTCCCCCTCCCCCCCCCCCCTCCCCCATTTTAACTTAGATTCCACTGATAATTCTATGTCTTTTTCTTAATCTCGTTTTGTTACTATTTCTTTTTTCCAAAATTGCATCACTAAGGTATGGGTGCAGGGCAGATCTCCCTTGGAACGGCATTGCAGTACAGTCCGGATCACTCGTTCAGAAAGTACCTAGCACCACTATGGCTGGCTCTTGGTTGCGCCCTAGCGTCACTTGTGTATACCGTTCTTCCTAACGTCCTGATAGAAACGGTGGATAGACGGAATAGAAGAAAAAGTGTGGGAGTAAGGGTGTTGGTATCTGGGATTGTTGATATAATCAGGGTAAATACCTTTTTACTTCCGCACTCTTCTTTATTATTATCATTATTCTTAGGATTTTTACTATTATTATCAGTATAGTTATTATCACCATAAATATTATCATTATTACTATTGTTATTAATATTATTATCATCAATATTGTCATTATTATTATTATCATTATTGTTATTATTACTATTAATTATTTCTATAATTATTATCATTATTACTAGTATAATTAGTAAAATTGAAGGTGATGATGTAATGGGTTCTAGGGCACCTACACCCCGGACATCCACCCCCCCTCCCACCCCGGATAACCAACCCCAATCAACTATCCCCTAGGACAAGTACCCCTAGGGCAACCAACCTCTAGGTCGACTTCCCCGGGACAACTACCCCCGGACAACTACCCCAAGACAACTAACCCCTAAGACAACTACCCCCTTACAACTACCCCCTACGACAACCATCCTCTAGAACAACTACCCACCTGAAAACTTTCCTAGGGGGTAGTTGTCCGGGGGTAGTTGTCCGGGGGTAGTTGTCCGGGGGTAGTCGTCCTAGAGAGTGGTTGTCCTAAGGGGTATATGTCTTAGGGGTAGTTGTCCTAGGGGGTAGTTGACTAGGGTGGTTATCCGGGGGTAGATGTCCAGGGAGAAGTTGTGTCAAGATATGGATGTAATGTAATGATTTGTGTAATCATTACGGCCAATTGCCAATCATGATTTACAAAAGTCGTCACTCTTTTTTCTTTTTTAAACTTCTCTCTTTTTCTTTTCCATCAACTAGATAAACAACAATGGCAGGCGATTAAAGGTGATAATGTACACGGTTGTCATGATTTGCATAGTCATTACAGCCAAGTGCCAGTCGCAATTAACTATAGTATACAGTCTCGGGGAACCGTTCTGTTTCAACCCTCTGATGGTTTCTATTCTGACCGTCGTTGGTTTATCAATCCAAGCTCTTGGTATGTATCTTTTCCTCTTTCTTTTTCTTCTTCTTTTTTCTTTTTCCTCTTCCACATCTCTTCGTTTGATTCTTCTTTTTCAAATGGTTCGTCTTCTATTTCTTCCTCTTTTTCTTCTTCTTCATTTCCTCTTCTTCTACTTCTCTTTATTCTTTTTTTCTTCTTATTCTATTACCCTTTTTCTTTTTCTATGCTTCGTCCTTTCTTCTCCTTTTCTTCTTCCACCTCTTCTTCTTTCTTCTTCTTCTACTTCCTCTTCTTCTTCTTCTTCTTCTTCTTCTTCTTCTTCTTCTTCTTCTTCTTCTTCTTCTTCTTCTTCTTCTTCTTCTTCTTTAACCTGCTCATGGTATCCCTACAAACCATCTTTGGTTTATGAAGAAAAGCTTTGGGTATGTTTTTGTTCGTATCAGACAATTACCCTCTGGGCAGTCACCCCCGGAAAATTACCCCGGAAAACTACCCCCGTAGGACGATTACCCCCCGAAAATTGTTTATGTTGATATTAATAAACCGAAATTGAATTGAATTGAATTGAATTGAAAAATTACCCCCCGAAGAATAACCCCCCGAGGACAATTACCCCCATGAAAATTACCGCCCGGAGAATTACCCCTGACGACAACTAACCCCCGATAACAATTACCCCCCGAGGACAACCACCCCCGAGGACAATTACCCCCCGAGGACAATTACCCCCAATGACAACTACTCCCCGAGGAACGGCGTTCACCCATATACTTTGACACAGCTTTAACCCCTTTCCGGCTGTGAACACTGAACAGTTTGGCGAAGTTAGATTATAAAAAGTACTGGAACGCCAGAGACAGGAAAAGTTATATTTTCTATCTTCACTGTCAACAGTGAAATGCATTTCTTGTGAAATTTCTACTTCGTATTCAAACTTATTTATTTATTTATCATTTGTTAGTTTATTCTTTTATTTACCCTTTTTCATCGACAGGTATGATATTCAGCGGTGCTGTCCTAGGTCGTATTTTGAGTGAGAACTGGATTCTTCAGCTAAGTTTCTGGAATACCGGACTTTTTTTTCTTATCGTTGCTCTAGCACAAAAAGGTTTTCAATTATTTATAGGTAAGTAAAAAGACTGAAGTTTAATTCCCCTCTCACTAACAAAGATGATTAAGTGGTGTTTGTGTGTGTGTGTGTGTGTGTGTGTGTGTGCGTGTGTATGTGTGTGTGCGTTCGTGTGTGTGTGTGTGTGTGAATGTGTGTGTGCCTGCAATGTGTGCAGGTGTGGGCGCGCGCGTGCGGGTGTCTCGGTGTAGTAATACTGTGCAAAGACGTTTATGTGTTGTGTGTACGTAGAAAAGGGGCGCGTGCGCGTCCGGTTAAGCGTGTGTGGGTTAGAGTGTGAGTGTTTGCGGGTGTGTGGAAGGAAACATGACTTTACATGTCGTTGTTCATTTTTGAGTGTATTTGTGTGTACTTATAGTTTTTCTTCTCCATGCGCCTCGAACATATTAGTCATGTGGAGTTGGCGCATTACAAATACTCTATTATTATTATTATTACAATAGGCCTACATTCTGAACATGAAGTCTTAAAGACCCTATCCTAGGAAATGCAACTTGATATACCCTTTCATTATTGCACAATGGCACATTTTTCCGCACCCCTCCAAATTACGGGTCAACATGGGCCAAATTTGCCGCAGTTACAGTGACGACATAACATTCGCACTCGCGAAGGAAACCAGCGCATGCGCACGTGGAATCCGGTAGGATGGTCAATAGGATAATAGTAATTATACAAATCAATCTTTCATCAACCCATCGTTAGCTCAATCGGTAAGGACAGCGTGTTACTAATAGAACTTTGGAGTTGCCGTGAGGGTTCAAATCTCAGTTTATTTAGTTTTTTTTACCTTTATAAATAGCGAGGCAAAGCAATAAATAATCAAAGTCTTAAGGCCCGGTCACACAGAGGGGACGCATGGGGGACGCACGGCCAGCGCATTGGAAATTTGCAATGTGAACCAGTGCGTTGTCGTTCGCTAGGCGTGCGTCATCATTCGTTACTCGTTCGTCGAGCGCGCTGGACCCACGCTATGCATTCGTCGTCATTCGCTGTGTGCGTCGGGATTTTTTGAGCATGCTCAAAAGTGTGCGCGGAGCTCGACGCATGAATGTACGCGCCAGACATGCGTGGAGCGCGCTAGACCAGCGCCAGACATACGCGGAGCACACGCCCTGTATACGCACAGCGCGCTAGCTACACGCCGTGCATTTTGTGTCAGCTCGCTAGCTTTTCCAAAATTATGACAAAAGTTAGGCACACAGCCTTTTCCGATTTCCAATGCGCTGGCCGTGCGTCGTAGAACGCGGTGCATGCGTGGACCATTCGTCCAGCTCGCTAGCAACACGCTGTGCATTCGTGGAAGTTGTTATCATGTGCGCTCTGTGTACGGTCTGTATGCGCACTGTATGCGCCCTTTATGCGCCCTGTATGCGCCCTGTATGCGCTCAGCGCGCTAGCAACACGCTATGCATTTGGTGTCAGCTCGTTGTAGCTTCGACAAAAGTTGGTCGCACGACAACGCACTGGCCAAAATTGCAAATTTCCAATGCGCTGGCCGTGCGTGCCCCATACGTCCCCTCTGTGTGACCGGGCCTTAAGGCCCGAATTCACAAAGGACGTTTGTCGACAAACCTCCTTTCGTTTCGACAAACCTCCTTTTGTTATTTACAAACCAGGTTTGTAAAAAAAACGCGTCAAAACGCGTCATATGACGTACATAAACCTCGGTTTGTCGGCAAACCTCCTTTGTGAATTCGGGCCCAATTGTTTGTGACCTCTTTGCAAGCTTACGTAGCTTGTTATGTATGAAAATGAGTTCATACTGGAATCTGGGCTCACCGTGTCACGAAAAAATATGACGCGACCGGTTCACCTATAATGGCTTAATAGCTGAGGCGATGAGCCATGCTTAATTAATGCAAAGTCATTGTGAATATCATAATGCGTACTAGCTACACACAAGATGATGTCGTCAAGTCGATAGCAAGTTTTTAGGTCGACAACTTCCGATTTCCAAAGCTTTAGATTTTGAGTTTTCAAAGAGCTGATACTCCTTATACAGACACTAAAATGGCATATAATTGATATCATTGTAATGTATGGCTTATCACCTCTCCGTTGATTTATAATTCATCCATTTCATTTTTCAGTTCGGAGAATGGTCTTTGATATAACTTAAAATTGACAATTCCAAACGAAAACGAAAGGAATACACATTTTCATTCTTTATGGAAATTGACTCAGATTTGTTTTCTTCTTATTATTTTCAATTTTTTATTTTATTTAGATGTTCAACTGAATCCAATATGACTAATTGCCTTTTCTTTTTCTTTCCGTAGCTGCCGGTATCGGGGTGTTTGGCGCCATATGTTTCCCTGTCGTACGATCACAACTCTCCAAGCTAGCTAGTGAACATGAAAGAGGTATGCATAAACAGAGACTCACTTATGAAAAAGTTGTATGCAAGCGTTTCCCAGATAGTACGCAATCTTCCTTTAATTCTGTCATTTTATATGCAAAACACAGTATATATTCTCCGCGAAATACAAAAAGGAACGGCTATCTTTGAATTATTTTAAGAAGATGCTTAAAGGTTGTAATGAAGTTGAGCGGGTTCTTTCTATCAAACGCAATACATTTGTTGCATTACTTGATATTAATAGAAACATGTGCAACTGATGTAACAATCTTTGTTTCACCGGTATGTCATTAACATGTACTTTGTTCAAATCTGTTGTTTTGTTCTTGCTCAAGAATGATTGAATACAAAAAAAATTCTTTGGAAAAACAAAGCGTTTCTGACTTCCTTGTTGTGGCAGAAGGTGGGGGAGAGAGATGAGCAGTTATTCTGCAAAGATTTCCTTCAGTTTCTGAGCTTTTATTATTATTTTGACCAGCTTTACTTTTCGTAAAAACGACGAATAAGCGGGGGTGGGGGGGGGGGGGGGGGGGGTAAGGAGCGCTATTTTTTTTTCTTCTCAAATTCGTGAGAAAATATTTAGCGGCGAATCAACCCCCCCCCCCCCCCTTGCGCTAGGGGGAGGGGATCCGTCTTCTTTTTTATTTAAAAAAAAGGTTTACCTGTTTTTGGGCTACGGGAGGGGGCCCGCCCCCCCCCCCCTCCCCACCCCCTGGATAAATACGTTGAAGTCACTCCCCAGACTTTTTAGGGATAAAATGATTAGATTTTGGGGAAAAAATTGATGTTTTTGTTATCCTTATTCAAGGTCTGATGTTGGCGTTTGTCGGATGCATGGACAGTATAGGGACCTTATTGACACCCATCATCCTGAATAATATTTACTCAGAGACCGTCTCGTTTTATCCACCTTTGGTCTTCTTCTTCAGTGCAGCGTTTGAGATCATCCCTACCGTCTGCGTCGGGTAATTTGATTTCTTTATACAATCTATCCTTCTTTTCTCTCTCTCTCTCTCTCTCTCTCTCTGATTGTCACTGTATTTCTATGTCTCTCTCTCTCCCTCTCCCTCTCTCTCCCTCTCTCTCCCTGTGTTCCTATCTCTCTCTCTCTCTCGCACTATGTTTCTATTTCTCTCTCTCTCTCTCTCTCTCTTTCTATCTCTATTACCTCTCTTTATTTCTCTCGCTCTTTCTCTCTCTCTCTCTCTTTCTATCTCTATATCTCTCTTTATTTCTCTCGCTCTTTCTCTTTCTTTCTCTCTCTCTCCCTTCTATCTGTCTCTTTCTTTCTATCACACTTTATTTGTCTTTGTCTTTGTCTTTTTATTTCTCTCTGCCCCTATCTTTCTCTCTCTCTTTATTTCTCTCTCTCCCTCTCTCTCTCTCTCTCTTTCTCTCACTTTCTCTCTCACTTTCTCTCTATCTCTATCTTTCTATCACACTTTAGTTGTATATGTCTTTCTCTTTTTCTTTCTCTTTCTCTGCCACCTTCTCTCTCTCTCTCTCTAGATCTCTCTCTCTCTCCCTCCCTCTCTCTCGACCTACTGTTTTCTATTTGCTTTGGTTTTTATATTGTTGAATAGCGTTGATATAAGGGAGTTTACAGATAGCACATGGTACAAATGACCCCAAATATCCACAGATCTTTTACACAGGGAGAAGTTCCACTTTGAGCATCTTAGAATAATAACTGCCAAAGTTCTAGATGTGCTTCATGAACACCTTTTGTTTGCCCTCTTGAAAAGAATACTTCCACCTGCGTATCATAGAATGTACCGTTGGTGCATAAATGAATAATGGTACATAACTTTCATGAGCGCATATCCAGTATTCATCTCTGGTGGGTTTTACCTTTTTGGTACAAATGACCTTTATCTGCCCATGCGCAGATTGTATCTGTAAACTCCCTTATTGAGTTGGCACAGTCAAATAACCCATCTTGTGCAGCCGTCATTGAATCATGTGTTTCAAATTACACATCTTTGCCCTTCATTTTTCTCTGATCAATGCACTAATGATAGCTCATTGTTAGAATAAGACTCTTTTGCAGTGGTGAGACCAGCCGAGTTTCATTTTAGCCTGTATACATTCATTTTACTATAGTGTCTTATTTTCTTTCTCTCTCTCTCTCTCGCTCTCTATTCTCTCTCACTCCTCTTTTACAGTATCCTACAGTGCAGGCATAGAAGAGAAGTTAAATATCACGTGATCAATAGGGAGAACATTGAAGAACACAGTGAAGCACAATGACGTCACAAAGCAATCAATCGGACATCTGGCAATGTGTCGTGATCGACGTTTACTTTTTTTCGCAATGGAAATCTACAATAACGCCAATTAACTTGTTTTGTTACGCAATGGAAGTGTCACCGAATGAAGTGGACTTTTCGTGTCTAAACGGACGGGGGTATATATATGGTGGCTCCTAAGGGACACGCAAACGCAAAAATTTGACGTATATCTATGCAACATATTTTTCGTTTTTTACGTTCAAGACGTGAAAATCCACAAAATTGACGTATACCTTTGCCTGGTAATTGTTTTCGTTTGTCTGTACTCAATGGCCCTGAAGGGACACGCAGACATGAAAATCTGCGTCCGATATTCACGTCTGCGTCTCCCAAAAGGGACGCGCAGACGTGAATATTGGACGCAGATTTTTTCTTCTTCACGTTTTGGACGTAAACAGACAATAAAACCCTTGCATATAGGTGTACGTCAATTTTGTGGATTTTCACGTCTTGAACGTGAAAGACAAAAAATTGTTGCAAAGGTATACGTCAAATTGTTGCGTTTGCGTGTCCCTAAGGAGCCACCATATAGATAGACAATTTATTCTCAAAAGAACAAACAAGTGCCCAATAGGCCCTCTTCATACACCCGTGCGCTGTGGTAGCAGGTTGCCATTTTCCCCAGCACCGCACGACCACATGCAGATTAACAGCGGTCATTTACATTGTGATGGGGGTACGCCCCCCCCCCCCATCAAATGATTACACAGTAAAAAGATCCCCAAGAGAGAAAGAGAGACAGAGGAAGAAGGAAAAAAGGAATACGGATGAAGACAAGTATGATGGGCCCCATCTGATCTACACACCCTTCCCTAAGAGCGCGGATCCAGGATTTTGTAGGGGTGGGGGCCCAAATTTTAAATCAATTTGAAATGTAGTGTGCTGAAATAAGAAAATCGTGCTGGCCAATATTTCGCTCGGGGGGGGGGTAATTAGTGAGCACTCGTTTTTTTTTGGGGGGGGGCCTCGAAAATTTGAAAATTTGCATCTCCCAAAAAGGTAACATTAACGTTAAAAAAATGTAAAAATACACATTCTTTGATACCAGTCTCTAGCTGATTGATAGAACCTGACGTAGTTTACTCGTTTTTATAGAATTCTTAACTCACCAAATATTTACTATATTTTTATGAAGCATTATAGTTATATATGTATATTTTGTACGTACTGTACACTGCCAAAATGTTTACGTATATTCTCAATTACATTTGGCAATGTACATAACTCAAATATCGAATGTACGGTGTATACTATTATGTAACAAATAAAGTCAAATCCAAGTCATATTTATTTTTATTCTGATAATTTCATTTTGTTGTCTTGTTGTGATAATCTGGGCCTCATCTTATACAAAAAGTTGCGATTTATCCAAATCAATCACAAGTCATCTCTATCAATCACAGGTTTGCAGTCTCTTACGTACAAAGTTGCGATTGGTATACTAAGTTGCGATTAAGACAGTCACTAGTTCGTTCGTGTCTCCTTAGATCAAGATTAATGTAATCTTGATCTTCGGAGTAGTTGCTACAACCGGCCGTGTCAGACACGTTGCCCCGGGGTGCGAGATAGGACGCTTGTAGCGTGCCCCCATTTAAAACAATTATACAATAACAGTTAACATTACATTTAATTAATAGTATAAAACTATTAAAATTACTCTCATGTTACGGGAAAAAATATTGCATATATATATATATTATAAATCAATTGATTTGGTCGATCCAGTTCGAGTGAAGGAGTAGTTGCTACAATCGGCCGTGTCAGACACGTTGCCCCGGGGTGCGAGATAGGACGCTTGTAGCGTGCCCCCATTTAAAACAATTATACAATAACAGTTAACATTACATTTAATTAATAGTATGAAACTATTAAAATTACTCTCATGTTACGGGAAAAATATTGCATACATATATATTTTATAAATCAATTGATTTGGTCGATCCAGTTCGATGGCACAAACACGGCACTACTGGACAGAGATCATAATAATTAATATTTAGTGTTGTCACTATTCAAAGTGGTAATCAGGTAACATGCTTGACCGTTAGCGAAGTCGGAAATGGCCCTCTATATATGTTGCTCGTCAGAGAAGGATTCCTCCTCTCCCCCCCCCCCCCCACATCCTGCTCCCGTCAGAGAATCGTAAATCCGCCACTGATATAAAATTGATATAAATATTATTCTGTTATCAGTTCATAGTTTGGACTATAAAATGCCACTTTTCTTCCTCAACATAAAAACAGATTATTATGTTTATTCTCATGTCTGGTATAGGCTCGACAATCAAGCAAAGAAAATTGAAACCCCACACTTGCCCCCCCCCCCCCCCCCAATAAAAAAAACGTTTATGACAATTTCTTCATAAATCTGTATCAATTGGGTCAAATTTATAAATCGCCGGAACGTTTTTGGACTTTGAGATATAGGACTTGGTCAATACATTTACACTCAATTAAACCAAATATTGAAACCTCTTACGTTTCGGGGCACATAGATACACGTATAAAAGATTCATGGGTTAGGTTCATAATGGCTATATTCATAATATGTGATAATGAAATCGAAACCCCAAACTTAGTCTAGTCCTTTAGGGTTAGGCCTACTCAAAACATACTGAAACCTGACACCCCTGATATGGCCGCTTCAAAAAGATCTCGGTGATCTAGGCAAAGTATAGAAACCATTGACTGATAACCGCATAATTATGCGTTGTGCCTCAAGAAAAGCCTGAACCAAAAGCAGACCTCTTAATTAAGTTCATTTATTACACAGTTCTTCTTAAACAAAGTTGGACGAGAGAATAAAAATCATTCCCTAATAATTAATTTCCACGTTGACATAGTTCTCCTTAAACTAAGTTGGACGAGAATAGAAGTCATTCACTAATTAATTTCCACGTTGACTGAGTTCTCCTTAAACTAAGTTGGACGAGAATAGAAGTCATTCACTAATTAATTTCCACGTTGACTGAGTTCTCCTTAAACTAAGTTGGACGAGAATAGAAGTCATTCACTAATTAATTTCCACGTTGACTGAGTTCTCCTTAAACTAAGTTGGACGAGAATAGAAGTCATTCACTAAACAATTAATTTTCACTGTGATATACACGTTGATAATTATAGGTTGTGGTGATACTTGTTGACACTCAATCGAGAAAAGTCGTTCTTCGTTAACCTTGCTTTCCTCAATGTGTATGTAAAAAATGATGCTGTAATTTTATTATTGCAAAGTTATGTCTTTACTGAATTATGTGCAAATATCTTAATTAAAAAATTATACTAAATTATGTTAAAATTATGTAGATTTCCTTTCTTTTTCTAAACTTTCTTTACAAATGTATATCCACAAGTATACCACATTTCTCGCAATTATGCGCAAGCAGTGTCACTTGCTGTTCTTATTGTTCATGTTGTTGTTGTTGTTGTTGTTGTTGTACTAGCTGTAGTTTAGGCGTGTATTATACAAATAATACACATCAGTGAGGGCATTAGTAAGAATTACCCACACGGGGTACATTTGGAACAGTCTAACACGCCCGAGGCGATAGTCGAGGGCGTTTAGACTGTTTTGAAGGTACCAAGTGTGGGTAATTTTACTAATGCCCGAACAAGATGATGTGTATTATTTGTTTTATAAGATTATGTTTTATTTGTATGTTTTATTTGCATTTTATATAAAATTATGTTTTGTTAACATGATTTTGATAATGACCGGTCATTACCATTGGATAATAACCGGTCATTACCCAAATTACGCGCGATTACGCGTTATGCAAAATAAATGCCTGGTCACTTGTACGCTTTCAACCAATCATTTGATTAGAATCCACGTGTTATAACATTCCATAATTCATATTCACGTCACAAGTATTCCCTTAATTAAAGGCCTCGTTTAACAATGTTAAATCTGAGATGCATGACCCTACGTGTGATCAGTGTCTGTGATATGGTATAATATTGAAGCCCTAAACAACTTGCGCTTCAAAATAATCATGAAGTGCCTTAACAAATCAAAAATCTTTCAGTGACCGGTTTACCATACTCATTATACCCAATAGTCTGTAGTGTTATAAAAACCGTTAGGTAAAAGAATGTATCTTGATAATCAGACAGGCGATCGGCTTATAAAAGTCATGGGGTTCCTAACTGCATGGCCTAAAGGTTTATAATTATCATTGCAGCATAAGCTTAATCTAGGATTTTGTTTCAGAATCTGAGGCAATGTTACCGAGTCACTTAAGTTTAATTAATGAAGGAAGTTAGTCTGAGGTCTACGTTTCCGTTTTGTTAAACGTGATTTTTTTTTTGTACTCATGCAAACTCGGGTTGAAGTGAATCGGTTAGTAGAAATGTCAAATACGGGCCATTTACGAATAGATATCAAGCGACTAATAAATCTAGAATTTGAGGCATTCTTAAATGACCTAGCTTGGATATAACCGGCTGGATCACGCGCTCTGGTTTTGCGTTTATACGACCAAGACATCGACCTCTTAATTGACACCATATATAATTATTTCCGGTCAATTTGACAGCTCAAAAGCCTTCCAGTGATAATTAAGTGTCATAAAAAAATTTCATGCGAGTTGAATTCTTCGAGATTATTTTTCCACTGCCCTGTATGGCAATTGTTAATCGCTCCCAGGGCGGCGATTTCTTTTTCATGACCGGGGGAGACGAAATGCGTGGGACGAGGGAGCAGTGGCGTAATGAGCAAAAACGTTGGGGGGGGGCAGAAAAAAAATCCGCATCACCACTACTCTACATGTTACGCAGGCCCTGGCAGCGTTTTTCAAAGTGGGGAGGGGGGACTAAAGTATATACGATCAGGTAGAGCGAAGCAAGTGGAGCGGAAATTGGCGTGGGGTCCAGGGGCAAAGCCTCGGCGGGGTCAAGGGGCGGAGTCCCATGAAACTCAGGGGTTTTAGGCATTTAATTCAGGTCAGATGAGCATATTTTGATACCTTATTTGTGACATGCACTGACATGCAGGTAAATAATTGGAGCGAGGTCCATTGGGCGAAGCCCCAGAAGCTCAGGGGTTTTAGGCATTAAATTACGATCAGATGAGCATCCAGTGGCCGCCTTAGAGCCCTTGGTGGGGTCCAGGCACAGAGCCCTCAAAGGTCAGGCATTTTAGGCATTTAATTACGGTCAGATAAGCAACCAGGGGCTCGCCTTAGGGCCCTTGTTGGGATCCAGGTGCAGAGCCCTCAAAGGTCAGACATTTTAGGCATTTAATTACGGTCAGATAAGCAACCAGGGGCTCGCCTTAGGACCCTTGTTGGGTGTCCAGGAGCCAGAGCCCCCGGACGCTCAGGGAAAATGTCATTTTAGCAAAAGTTTTAAATCACTGGTATCGAAGTAAAAATAAACCACGCTTGAATTTTATTTTTGGAAGGGGGGACTTCTCCCAAGTGCGAGGGAGCATAGTGAATGAGAGGGGTGAAGGTGACGGAAGTGGCAAGGCCATCACAAGTTTTTTGAAATTTTGGTTGTATTAAAAATTACATTCCTTAGCAAAACAATAGTATAAAACAAGCAATATACTTTGTTTACACTTTACTTTTCTCGGTATTTACTTGTACATTTTGAAGGATATTATGCAAAGGGGCGTAGCTACCGAGTGAGAAGATGTTGCATTTTTATTTGTCTAAACGCTATACTCTTGGCCCCTCCAGAGCCTAAAAAGTGTGTTGCAGTCTTTAGTCAGTATTTGCTATACATTTTTGTTGGCACTTTTTCAAAATGTGAGGGGGGATGACCCCCCCCCCCCCCCCTGAAAAATTGAGGGGGACGTGTACATGCGCGTACCATGCTTTATGTTTATTGTTACGCGGAGTGCAATTTCTGTTGATCCTTTCGCACCATTGCACGGTGACTTCACTTACCTCACAATATACTTTGTACATCGTTAGTGACGTCAGCGTGCAATGGTGCGAAAGAATCAACTGGAATTGCACGGCTGGAGAATGATGCCGTTCAACAGTACTTTTAGCACATGTCATGTGATCAAGAATTGACCAATGAGGTTGCAAGAATCTTAGTAGGCGTTGTATAAAACTATATATAGGCCCAGTATAATATTATAGAGTATTCGTTTTTGTATATATATATATCCATGGTTGGTAATGATACTTCTTTGTGTACAGACATGTGATACGTGACTTGTATACTGTGAATTCAGCTGTGAGGCAGAATTTTGAGGTAAGGCCTACCTTTTAAACACTGTTGCATACATGCCTGCCTCTGCGAACGGCAAATCGTAATACTTCTGTACATGTATCTATACATTGTTGTTGGTAATAGTTTAATGGCGTTCATTCAGTGTTGAATATATACGCCATATCTTCAGTTTTATAAGAAAATCAATTATACATAAGAAAACTGAGAAGAAAGATTTGTAATCACATAATTAATTAGTCAGTAACGCAATTTTTAATAGGAGTCTCTGGATGGTTTGCAACTTCGTGTTTCTGCATTTTTATAAGTTTAATCTGGTCAGCCCGGTTTGATTGCATGGAAAACTAGCTTTGCCCGATTTGAAACAATATAGGAAAATGATCACTTCCTAAAGTGGTAGATTCTACGTTCCAAGAAATCTTATGGGAAATATTTGGAGGTGAAAAGCATAAATCTAATGCTGAAAGCTTTGTCGTTCTGTGGTCAATTCCTGTACCTTGCCCAAGATTACAAATCGTAAAATTATGTTTCAACATATATTTTTCGATTATTTTTCCATTTCCGTCGGTCTTGTCACTACCCCATAAAGTATTATGTGCGTTAAAGTCTCCTAATATTATTTTTCTTTTAGCTTCTTTTGCATTTTTTTTTTTATAGTATCCAATATCTGTGGTGTTATCCTTTTACATGGGTTATAAAAGTTCACCACTGTGTATATACATTGATTGAAATATATATTCACCGCTTGACATTCCATGTCTTCATGTTCTGTAACTTTGCTATGTTCTAACAAATTATGGAAGTATATAGCACATCCACCTCGTATGCCTGTGTTTATATTTCTATAAACTCCTTCATAATTATTTATATCAAACTGTTCGTTTTCTAATAGCCAAGTTTCTTGCACACAAATTAAATGAATTATTTCTTGTCTATTATTTATGTGAAGTCTCAGTTCGTCTCCGTGACCAATTATGCCCTGCGTATTCCATTGCAGTATATTTAGGGTCACGGTGGCGAACAGACTAAAATACCAGGCCAATAACATTTTGTTCATTTAACATTTCTTTAGTGAGATTGAACAATTTGAGAGCTGCTCCTACAATCAGGCTTATTGGATTATCTTTCTTTTGATTAAAATTTGCAAGAATATATACAATAAATGAAATTATTTCTTCATTACTGGCATTGAAAATGAAGTTTTTCTCCTTTTTGCTAATTTCTCCTCCTTCGTGAACATACTACGTGGTTCCTATACATTATTTTGTCTCTCTCGTTTTATCTCTCTATTTCTCAATCTCTCTCTCTCTCTCTCTCTCTCTATCTCTTTCCCCCTCTTTTTCTCTTTCTCTCTCGCTCTCCTCCTCCTCCCCACCCTTATATATATATATATATATATATATATATATATATATATATATATATATCTATTTCTTTCACTACCCGTTGACCCGTTTACATAAACCGTCGAAGACCATGCAGGGCCTTGTTTCATAAAACTAGTTATCAATATCAAATACTAAATTTCTTTAACAAATTTGCTCTCAGCCAATCAGATGCCACCATTTCAGAAGCTTTTAACAGTTATCGTAACTTTTTAATCATATCAAGTTTCTGTCAGGGTCCTAGCGTGTAACGTGTGCATGATTAATGTGTACATAATTCATGTGTAGGCCTCCATAACGTTACCCACATGTGTTAACGATACACATTTGGCACAGCAAAGCAGTTCACAACTATTTCATTATATTATGCTTCAATATTCCTGTATAAAAGCAAGAATATCGAGTGGTATTTGACTTTTGCATCACTGTGTCTGTATACTAGCACACTATAGATGTTGTTCATAAAGTTGGAATTATATTTCGTATAATTTTTCCATGAAAAAGCAAGAAAATCGATCAAGTGCATGGTATTTGACATTTGCATCACTTTGTCTTTATACTAGTACACTATAGCTGTCACCCATAAAGTCGGAATAATATTTCGTACATCTTTCCATGAAGTAATTGTGACGAAATGGTTGTTTGATTATAATATCTTCTCAGAACCTTAACCCCTAGTTACTCAAATTCCCATAGTCTTAATACAAGAGCCACCCGGTTCCAGTAGGCAATGCCAACGGGTTAATTATAATTTCTATAACTCTTTAGACATATTCTCACGATCACTTCATAAAAATAATTGTGTGAGAAAAAAACTATTTCAACTTTTCATGCTTCATAATGATGTAGGTAGGATACCAATAATAGGGCAAAGTATATCACGAGTGGACCCGATCCCGAGGACGAAATTTTTATTCCCAAACAGGTTTGCAATTTATATATTTCCGTTCTTTCTTCTCAATGGCTGATATGTTCTACGTCATTATCAGCTTGGAAAGAGGTCACAAAAAATTAGACTTTGATTTTTTATTGCTTTGCCTCACTATTTATAAAGGCAAAAAAACGGAATGAACTGTGACTTGAACCTATACTCTATGATTGTATTACGCTGACCTTACCGATTGAGCCAACGATGGGTTATTAAAGTGCTTCTGCATGATTTCTATAGCCCTATCACTCACCCTAACGGTTACGTCATTGCTAATGAGGTAACATATCAGCCAATCAGATGACCGGAAATATTAGCATTAGCAAACCTGTTTGGGGAAAAAAAAATTGCAGCCCGAGGCCATCATTTTTGTGTGTTAATTGTGACTCACTCCACTGAGAAACACTCCTATTCCATTATAGAGGATTAGAGAGACAATCAACGGTGAGTCTCTTTATTTCAACTTAAAGGTTAGCAAGCATAATGTTTGTGGGGAAGGTGAGGGTTGTGTGGGCAGGTGCGTACGCAGGGGGTGTTTTGGGGGTTTACCCCCCCCCCCCCCCCCCTCATGTTTTGTTGTTGCTCAAGGGGGGGGGGGGGCTTTTTTTTTAGTTTTAAAAGAAATCCTCCTTACCCCCCCCCCCCCCCCCCCCCTGATCTGAAACTATATTCAGAATACTTTTAAAAAGAGTTTAAAGGCTACATAGTTCGTATTTGACCTTTTCTCTTCCGTAGATTCATGGAAGGCGTAGCGGGCGACAAATGTGCTTCTTCTCCGGAGCAAGTGACGTCACAGAGCCAGGATGTTAAATTTGAAGGCCAGCTCAAGAGGGCGGTATCTCGTTACATTACAGTCGAAGTACCTCTCGCTCTAACATGTGTCACTTATCAACTGATAACAACAATGAAGGTATTACACAAATTCATTCATTTCAGCCTATTTTGAATGCCAACTTAAATAGAGAGGCCATACATTCCAAAATCAAGAGTTATTTTCATTGGGACAATAATAGAGCTGATGTACAAAAACTGATATATAAACATTTAAAGAATCCTAGTGTGTGAATATATAATGTTCATATAACCCGGAAGAAATGCATGGGGTGTTATTCTGAAAAACTATGGTAGCGTGAAAAAGTGAGAAAAACAAACTGCTGCTTTCATTTTTGACAGTGATCGAAACTTAGGCTCAATCAGGTTTGAAGCAGTTAAGGGAATGCAAAGTTTTGGGAATATTTTGAAAATTGGGTGGATAGTGATTCTTTACAATATTGATATATTTGGATGCCCCTGTGGATGTATTATAAGCACTAGAAAATTTAGCCCCTAAACAACTTCTGCTTTCGAGAAAAATTGAATATAACAATTTACCGGTGCTCCCGATAAATTTTGATAAATTTCAAATAGCGCCTACGGCCGTATAATGGTAGCTGCGACCATGAAAATCTCAAAATGTGTAGTTGTGATATATAATTTCCAAACGGGAATAGCTAATCGGTCGATTTTAGTCAAGAAACATTGTTTTATAGCTTAATTAATATTTTGACCTTGAGAAGGAGCTATACAATATAAAGAGTTTATTATTTATAATTTCATACCTTTAGACTCGATTTCAACCGCGACAACGATCACTGAATATTGTAGGATCGCATATGCTTCCAATATGTTCATTTGAACCAAATTCATGACCCCATACCAAAACTTTGTGTTACCTTTAACTGCAGGGTTTTGTTTGCGGGGCGTGTATTTTGTTTTTTATTTGTTTGTTTTGGGGTTGTTGTTTTTTACAACGTGCAAATGAATGGCTACTGCGAGCAACAAATGTCATTTGATGTTATTCACTGCTCTCCGTGTAATGATATACAAAAATGTTATGGATTTTTGTGTTTTTTTTAACGCATTTGCGTCAAATATTGGATTTGGCGAGGCTTTAATGCTGGCGATTGTGATATTATTTGTCATCAAAGCAAAATGTATAAACAGATTAATTATTGTAACCTTCACAACTCAATCAGTTTTTTAAAATAATGATTTGTTGGTTTTGCATATTCATGTATATAAGTAAACGTTTCAATATATTGTCGTCTACTCTTGCTTGAGAGCACTTTCAACTTTCTTTTTCATAAGGGGACTATAGAGAGGCTGTTCACACCGCAATGAGATAGCGCGGTCTATCGTAGCACCCCTTTTTTTCTAGCGCGCGCTAGACAGCGCTATCTCACGTGGACCACCCCCAAGAGGTGCTCCAGTGGCACGCCGTTTTGGTTCGCCGTGGCTCGCTGTTGGGCGGACCGAAACGACGTTGTACCTTCCAAACCGCAGAGATAGCGCGGTCTAGCGCGCGCTATCTCTGCCGGTGTGAACAGCCTCAAAATCGACGTACTTGATCGCCTTGGTCTTGTAAAGCACCCTCGATTCCATGTATAATGATTTGCATCTGTGCTGTATAATTTCTGATTTGAATGTATACATGCTTTTAGTATTATTGTACTCTCACTAATATTTTCAAAATGATTAGCCATCACATCTACAATCTCTTGAGGATTTGTTATTTCTGAAATTTCTAAAATTGAACTGGAACTTGAACTTGAACTTGAACTTGAACTTGAGTTGCATTATTTCGTTGCTTCCAGGCTGAATATCTCCACGATCGACTCTCAGCGAAATACAATCATTCGCTGATCCACAATAGCTCAGCATCGACGTGTGGGCCAAGCACAAATTTAAACGAAAGCCACATCGAAGATATGATTCAGGCTGAAACCTCCACATGGCTTCTCTACCTGGGTCTAGCGTATTCCGTCCCGGGTAAGCATCTACAAGGTTTATAACCTCTCTTGCGTCACTTCTGTTGCGTTGTTATACCTGCGCTATTAAATCGAGCAAGAAGGAAAGTAGTCCAAAGAATTTTGATTAATTTCTCCCAAATCTAGACTCTCATCTTCCGAAAAACGTTTTACAGTGGGTGCTTTGAAAACATGATCATAGAAGGCCTTGGAAACTGCCTTAGATAACTATCATAAGCACGATTGCATTTTTTTTTTAATCGACTTCAAGCCAATGTCAAGGCTTCATAATTGTATAATAATAATAATAATCATATTAATAATAATAATCTTTTAAAGTCCACTCCAAAATTTATTAAGTTAAACCGAAAATGGAAATTCTTTTTGCCCAATTGATCGTGAGCCCGGCAGCAACTGAGCAGCGCCAGATCGACGTTGCTCTATCCCCTATTGTTGAACGCCAAACAAGGTAATAGCAACTCCCGCCTAAGTATATAAAGGTCATGTTCGGATCATGTCAAAGGTCACTGTCATGTTCGCATAATGTGTTGATTTCGGGAAAGTCTTTCCGATCGCGTTCATCACCATTTCTTCTCTTTTATCTCACAGGTGTTTTCATGGTTATTCTTCTCGGCTCCCTGAGCGATAGTTTAGGCCGCAAGCCTGCTCTGTGTCTGAACATCACAGGCTGCTGTCTAGTCTCCACGGTCTACCTGGGCATTGTCTATTACCAAGCGCCGGTCGAGTACTTGCTGATAAGCGACTTCATCTCCGGCGTGACCGGAGGACAAGCCTTGCTTCTGTCGACCGGTGCAGCTTATGTGGCGGATGTGACGTCAGAAAAGTCCAGGACGCCACGAATCATTTTTCTCGAGACAATATTCTTTATAGGTAGGCAATGCAAAAAATAGAGGCAAATGTAGGCCTACACGTCATCTCCATTTGCCACTATACTCCCTTAGGGGCTGTTTCACAAAGATCCTAAGTCGAACTTAACTCCAAGTTGGACTTAAATATTATGGAGAGCCAATTGAAGCCTTAAAATGAGATATATTCAAAAGCAAAAAATCAAAGTATTTTAGACTTTTCATAAATTCCACATCAAAAATATAAAATCTCCTTGATAATGGAAGTATGAATGATTTTAATCAACATTTTATGCATTTAAAAAATAACTTTTACAAAACAACGGATTTCCATAAGTCCAACTTAGACATATTAAGTTCAACTTAGGATCTTTGTGAAACACTCCCCTGGTTTTTAACGGGTACCGGTAGGGATTCCATGATGCTATGTGAGCACTGGTATTAGATGTAGCGGTTTCAAGCCATATAGTCGTCTGTTTCCACTTTCCAATATGTAGTGCGTCGTTATTACTCGCCGACACCGGGGGGGGGGGGGTGTTTCACAAATATTCTAAGTAGAACTTAACACTAAGTGGGACTTGAAATTTATGGACAGCCATTGGAGTCTTAAAATGAAATATATTCAAAAGCAGAAATTTAAGTATTTTTTATACTTTTTATAAATTCCACATCCAGAACATGAAATCTCCTTGATGATAGAAAATATAAATGATTTGAATAAACAATTAATGCCTTTCAAAATAACTTTTTTAAAATATTTTCAAAGATGCTAATGGCTTTCCATAATTTTTAAGTCCAACTTAGAGATAAGTTCGACTTAGGATCTTTGTGAAACACCCCCGGATGTAATATGTGTATAGATCTTCCAGGCAGCGAAACTGTTGCCCACCAACTTGCCTCAGATTCGATGGTGGGGGAATGTATGATTATGAGATTTCCCTATCGGACGGTAGATAGATCGAGTGGATTAGGCCTATATAAAATTGAAACCCAAGATTCACAATACCTATTATCAGGTAATAACCCCCCCCCCCCCCCGGGCCCCACCCCTCGTATGGTTTTCAGTTTCCCCACGTGACCATTATGTGTCATTTGAACCCTTAAAGCCTCGAAATGCGAACGTCATAGGTTTGAGCCTCGGCGGGGGCGGTACTAGATTCCTTAGACAAGACGTAATCTACATTTAGTACTGATATCGGTAGCGTAGCTAGTGCTTGGGTCATACTTATTGTGTCACCGAATCAGATAAAAAGTAGTTTTAAAATATAACAAAGTCGTAGTCGATGGTTCAAACAGAATTTGATGACTGGAAATGTAAATACAAAATATTATACTATAATTTTGGAAAGAGATTTAGCTCGTAAGGCATAATGGCACCATTATCATGATTATATTGGGAATTTTTTCTTATGACTGTTTTTTGTATTCTTACAAAATGGGCAAATCCTCATTTTAATGTAGATTCCACTGATAACTCGGTGTCTTTTTCTTAGCTCTTATCCTGGCACAGGGCTAATCCCCATTGTGGCAAGCCACAAATCCCCCAGTGCCAAGTTTATTTTGAGATAATCGGATTAACGCGATGGTGCTATCAATAGCGTGTGCGAAACACAAGGCACAGTACTATGGGCACAGTACTACGGATGCTTGCAAACATGCAAGAAGCAGCGAAGCGTTAGCTTGCTCGCGTGTACAAAGCACCATAACGGTAGCGTGCATGCAAGCTTATGGCAGGATATGATCGAGTTAAGCTCGTTTTCTTACTATATATTTTTTCCCTCTAGGTATGGGTGCAGGGCAGATCTCTCTTGGAACGGCATTGCAATACAGTCCTGATCAATCATTTAAGAAGTACATAGCACCACTATGGCTGGCTCTTGGTTGTGCACTAGCGTCGTTGGCGTATACTGTTCTTCCAAACGTCCTGATAGAAACGGTGGATAGACGGAAAAGAAGAAAAGTTGTTAAAGTGAGGGTGTTGGTATCTGGGATTGTTGATATAATCAGGGTAATTTTTTTTTCTTCCGCACTTTTCTTTACTGTTATTACTTCACTACATTTTCATTATTGTTAGTATGATTAGTATTGTCACTGCCATTATAATTGGTATCATTATTTTTATAATAACCATCATTATCATAATCATTATTGTTATTATTATCATCATTGATTTTATTCTTATTATTCCTAATATTGTATTACTATTGTATTTATTATTATTATCGTCACTATCATAATCATTATTAAATCATTATTTTCATCATTGTCATTATTATTTACATTAAAGGTAAAGACCAGTAATGGTCATGCGGTTGCATTGTGAAAGAAACGTTGTGGAATCGATCAGAAAAGGTTGATCATCTAGCATCTAGCATCTGCAAGGTTCTGGAATCATCAAAATGATAAGAAATTTGGCCCATTCTTCGTAAAGTTACAAGCACTATACACAGAAAGATGTATATGGGACTACCCTATCTCTCTCACACGACCATGAGAGAAATAAATTTACCAAATATATGAATTAGTAGGCGGTTTCCCGGCAAATTTTTTATCATCATGTATTATTTTTTTTTATGAGCTTCCATTTCATTTTTTGAAATTGGGGCGTTACCAATACTGGTCTTTACCTTTAATACTATCATTATGATTTGAATTACTGATATTATTATTATCATTATAATCATCATTAAAATCATTATTATTATTATCGACGCCCCTGGGTCTACCTAGATATATGAATGAACTATTGATATACATTTCGCAGAAAGTGCATTCGCTGGCTCCCTTTTGTTGCGAGGGCTTTTGTATGCCCATTTATACATACCAGTTCATCGTCAATGTTTGTGCCCAAATATGTATAATAATCTTGCCCTGTAATGCTTCACTTCGTTTGCTTTCTACTTTCTGGATCCTGCATGAAATCAAACAGGATTAAGTCAATGCAATACATACGTATTTATGTGTCATCGTCTTGAGTTATAATTCTTCTTCTTCTTCTTCTCCTTCTTCTTCTCCTTCTTCTTCTTCTTCTTCTTCTTCTTCTTATTATTATTATAATTTAAGGTGATAATGTACTTGGTTTTTATGATTTCAACAGTCATTACCGCCAAATGCCAAACATGATATACTAAAGTCGTCACTCTTTTTACACTTCTCTTTTTCTTTTCCATCAATCAGATCAACACCAATGGCAGGCGATTAAAGGTGATAATGTATACGGTTGTTATGATTTGTATAATCGTAACAGCCAAATGCCAGTCGCAATTAACTGTAGTTTACAGTCTTGGGGAGCCGTTCTGTTTCAACCCTCTGATGGTTTCTACTCTGAACATCGTTGGGACAGCAAGTCAAGCTCTTGGTATGTATCTCTCCCTCTTATTCTTTTTCTTCTTCTTTTTTCTTTTACCTCTTCCTTTTCTTTTCGTTTTATTCTTCTTTTTCATATTTCCCGTCTTCTTTTTCTTCCTCGTTTTGTTCCCCTATTTCTTCGTCTTCTTCATTTCCTCTTCTTCTACTTCTTTTTGATCTTTTTTCTTCTCATTCTATTTCCCTTCTTCTTTTTTAGATGCTTCTCCTTTCTTCTCCTTCTCTTCCTCCTCCTCTTCTTCTTTCTTCCTCTCCTTCTTCTTTTTCTTCTTCTTCTTCTTCTTCTTCTTCTTCTTCTTCTTCTTCTTCTTTCGTTTCATTAAACTGCTCATGATGTCCATACTAACCATCTTTGGTTTATGAAGAAAAGATTTGGGTATGTTTTCATTAATATCATTAACATTATTAGTAATTCATGTCGTTGGTCTAGTAGCTTTATCATTATTATTATTACTATTATCATTTTTGTTATTGTTGTTTTTATTATTATTGATGTTTTTATTTGGGGGCGTACTTATTATATTTATTACCCGTTTACGACGGTGAGGAGCTGAAACAGCGTTAACCCATATACACACAAAGTTAACCCCTTTCCGGCTGTAAACACATTTGACAAGATTGAACAGTTTGGCAAAGTAAGATTATAAAAAGCACTGAAATGCCAGAAATAGGAAAAGTTGTATTTTCTATCTTCATTGTCACGGCTAGATCAACAGTGAAACATGCATTTCTTGTGAAACTTTGACCTCGTATTTAAACTTCTTATTTAGAAATTTTTTATTTATTTATTTATTCATCTTTTTTTTTTTTTAAATTCTTTTATTTTGATTTTTTCCTCGTCAGGTATGATATTCGGCGGTGCTGTCCTGGGTTGTATTTTGAGTGAGAACTGGATTCTTCAGCTGAGTTTCTGGAATACCGCACTTTTTTTTCTTATTATTGCTCTAGCACAAAAAGGTTTTCAATTATTTATTGGTAAGTAAAATGACTGTGAAGTTTAATTCCCCTCTCAGGGGAAACCCACTACCTGTGTGTGTGTGTGTGTGTGTGTGCTCTCACCTCAGCATTCTTGTGGGGTTTTATGTGCGCTTCACATACCCCTTGTGAGGCATTTTTACTTTGTGGGGTATTTTTTCAGGACCCCACAGAGTAAAGTCTTTCAAATGACTGTATATTCGGTGTCCTATGCCCTGCGGGGCATTAGAAGTGGTACCCCATAAATGACATTTTGTGAGCGTGTGCTAAAACTTGCACACTTTTTTATGGTAACATCGTAAGCACACCGCCGGGTTGTTATCGCCAGGTTGTACATACCCCACTAGTAGGGGACCACAAGGTATATCTGGAACGCACAGAAATACCCCACAATCAGGTGCCCCACAAAGGCCCTGATGTGAGAATGCGTGCCTTTGTGTGTGTGTCTGCAATGTGCGGAGGTGGGTGCGCGCGTGCGGGTGTCGGGGGAGTACTCTACTGTGTGTTGTGTGCGTGAAGTGGTGCGTGCGCGTGCGGTTAAGCGTGTGTGGGTTAGAGTGTGGGTGTTAGCTGGTGAGTGGAAGGAAACATAACTTTACATGAATAGGCCTACATTGAACATCAAGTCTTAAAGACCCTATCCGAGGAAATACAACTTGATTTAAATTGAAAACTGAATCAATGTAGAATGCAAATATAAAGGAATAAAAAGTACATACCCTTTCGTTATTGCACAAAAGCATATTAAAACCTCACTTTCTGCACCCCTCCAAATTACGGGAGAACGTACAGGGGTCAAATTTGCCGCAGTTACAGTGATGACATAACATGTGGACCCGACCGGTTGACCTATAATATGGCTATATACTTGAGGCCACTAAAATGGCATGTAATTGATATTGTAACGTATATCTTATAAAACCTCTCCGTTGATTTATAATTCATTCATTTCATTTTCAGTTCTGATATGGTCTTTGATATAACTTAAGATTGACAATTCCAAATGAAAACGAAAGGAATACACATTTTCATTCCTCATGGAGATTTTTTTCTTCTTATTATTTTCAATTTTTTATTTTATTTAGATGTTCAATTGAATCCAATATGACTAATTGCCTTTTCTTTTTCTTTCCGTAGCTGCCGGTATCGGGGTGTTTAACGCCATATGTTTCCCTGTCCTACGATCACAACTCTCCAAGCTAGCGACTGAACACGAACGGGGTATGCATACCCAGAGGGAGTCGGGCTAACTCGGACGCGGGGACAACTCGGCCCGTTGCGAATACGGGGCAGAGTTTTCTCGCCATAATTGTTTTCTTTTTAATGATTTTTGTGTAGGGTTAAGGGTTAGGGTTAGGTTTTAGAGTTAGGGTTAGGGTTAGGTTTTAGAGTATGGTTTTAGGGTTAAAGTTAGGTTATCAGATGCTGGGCCCCGTATTTGCAGCGGGAATCCGAGTTAGCCCAGAACCAAAAAGAGATGTATTACTTTCTTATGATAAAGTTTTTTGCAAGTGTTTCCATAGTGACTACCTTATTGTGGCAGAAGTCAGAAAGAGATGAGCAGTTATTATACACATTTTTTAAATTCAGTTTCTGAGTTTTCGTTATTAATTTGTCCAGCTTTACTCTTCGTAAAAACGAATATCCTTGCATTCGATTCGACTCTGTTGGTACTTTGGTCGCCCAGTTCGGGGGCGCGGGGGGGGGGGGGGGGGGGTTATAGGAGCACTAACTTTTTTCTTCTCCAAATTCGTGAGAAAATATTTAGCGACGAATCACCCCCACCCTCTCCCCTTGCGCCAGGGGGGGGGGTCTTCTTTTTTATCTACAAAAATGTTTAAATTTACCTGTTTTTTGCCAGGGGAGGGGGCCCGGGCCTCCCCCCTCCCTCTGGATCCGCCAATGATGTGTGAGCCTACTTCAATTTCTGTTAAATGATTACGCTGACAGGTTTTTGTTTCGGGGCTTTGAGACACAACTTTTGTATACAAATATTACGTTGCAATCACTCTCCAAACTTTTTAGGGATAAAATGATTAGATTTTGTAAAAATATTGATGTTTTTGTTCTCCTTTTTGCAGGTCTGATGTTGGCCTTTGTCGGATGTATGGATAGTTTAGGGGCCTTATTGACACCCATCATCCTTAATAATATTTACTCAGAGACCGTCTCGTTTTATCCACCTTTGGTCTTCTTCTTCAGTGCAGCGTTTCAGGTCATCCCTACCGTCAGCGTCGGGTAATTTGATTTCTTACAATCTCTCTCTCTCTCTCTCTCTCTCTCCTTTTCTCTCTCTCATTCTCCTTCTCTCTCTGTCACTGTCACTGTATTTCTATCTCTCTCTCACTATGTTCCTATCGCTCTCTCTCTCTCTCCCTCTCTCTCGACCTACTGTTTTCTATTTGCTTTGGTTTTTATATTTTGGAATAGCGTTAATATTGAGTTGGCACAGTCGAATGACCCATCTTGTGCAGCCATCATCGAATCATGTGTTTCAAATTACACATCTTTGCCCTTTATTTTTCTCTGATCAATGCACTAATGATAGCTCATTGTTAGAATAAGACTCTTTTGCATTGGTGAGAGCAGCCAAATTTCATTTTAGCCTGTATAACATTAATGTTATTATAGTTTCTTACTTTATCTCTCTCTCTCTCTCTCTCTCTCTCTATCTATCTCTCTCTGTCTCTCTCTCTCTCTATTCTCTCTCACTCCTCTTTTACAGCATCCTACAGTGCAGGCATAGAAGAGAAGTTAAATATCACGTGATCAATAGGGAGGATATTGAAGAACACAGTAAAGCATCATGACGTCACAAAGCAATCAATCGGACATCTGACAAATATGATCGACTCTTATTTTTTTTCGCAATGGAAATCTACAAAAGCTAACTTGCTTTGTTGCGCAATGGAAGTGTCACCGAATGAAAACAAAAACCGGACGGGGGTACATAAGCGGGTATATAAGATAGACAATTTATTCCCCTAAGTACAGACAAGTCGATCCCCCAATAGGCCCTCTTCATCCACCCATGCACCGTGGTAACAGGTTGCCATTTCCCCAAGCATTACGACCACATGCAGATTAACAGTGCCATTTACATTGTGATGGGGGTACGCCCCCCCCCCCCAATCAAATGATCACACAATTTTTAGTAAAACGATCCCCAAAAGAAAAAGAGAGACAGAAGGAGAAGGAAAAAAGAAATACGGATGAAGACAAGTATGATGGGCCCCATCTGATCTATGCACCCTTCCCTAAGAGACAGGCGCGGATCCAGGATTTCTTGGGGGTTTTGGGGTCCAAATTTGAAATCAATTTGAAATTTATTGTGCTGAAATAAGAAAATCGTGCCGGCCAATATTTCGCTCAATTTTTTTTTTTTTTTTTTTTTTTTTTGGGGGGGGGGGGGGGCCTCGAAAATTTGAAAAATTGCACCCCCCCCCCCCCTTGAGCGCCAGGGGGGGGGGAATCTCCCAAAAAAGGTAACATTAACGTTAAAAAATGTAAAAATACACACATTCTTTGCTACCAGTCTCTAGCTGATTGATAGAACCTGACGTAGTTTACTCGTTTTTATAGAATTATTATTTCACCAAATATTTACTATATTTTTATGAAGCATTATAGTTATATATGTATATTTTGTACGTACTGTACACTGCCAAAATGTTTATGTATATTCTCAATTACATTTTGCAATGTACATAACTGATACATCGAATGATGATCATGATACTAATAATAATATGTAACAAATAAACAAATAAAGACGAATCCAGGTCATATTTATTTTTGTTCTGATTATTTCATTTTGTTGTCTTGTTGTGATATTCTGGGCCCCATCTTATATAAAAAGTTGCGATTTATCCAAATCAATCGCAAGTCTTCTTACATCAATCGCGTGTTTGCAGTCTCCTATTTAGCACAAAGTTGCGATTGATATACTAAGTTGCGATTAATCGAGTAAGGCAGGGCCCCCATGCACGCACGGGACACCCAAAGTCTCGTCGTGTCACTACATATTCAAAGTGATAACAATATTGCTTGACCGTTAGCGAAGTCGAAAATGGCCCCCTATATATTATGTTGCTCGTCAAAGAAGGATCCCCCCACCCCCACCCCTTAACTCCCGTCAGAGAATCGTAAATCCGCCACTGATATAAAACTTGTAGAATTGGAGAAATAGCGATTGATTGCTGTGCGACATGTGGGGGGGTGCCTGCGGGGGCTGCATGTGCCCACCGCCCTCACATTTTTTGCAGATTTCTTTTCATATGATTCAGGCGCGCCGAAAGTAGTTTGGGATTGGGGGGGGGGGGGAACATTCTTGGGGGCTCACCTTCCAGGGGCAGTGACGTAACGAGCAAATACGTTTGGAAGGGGGGGGGGCAGAAGAAAAATCTGCATCACATTCACTACCAATTGGCGGAGATTCCAGGGAACAAAGCCCCCGGAAGCTCGGGTTTTTTAACGGTCAGATGAGCATACAGTTGACCTCCTTACGGCCCTTGATGCCGTTGATGGGGTCCAGGGGGCAGAGCCCCGAAAGCTCAGGGGTTTTTAGGTAATTAATAACAGTCAGATGAGCATACAGGGCCCCGCCTTACGGCCAATTGGTGGGGTCCAGGGGGCAGAGCCCCCGGAAGCTCAGGGTTTTTTTTAGGTAGGCCTAATTAATAACGGTCAGATCGATGAGCATACAGCATACAGCCTTAGCGGGGCCTTGGTGGGGTTCGGGGGCAGAGCCCCCTGAAACTCGGGGGTTTCAGGTATTTAATAACGGTCAGATGAGCATACAGGGGACCGCCCAAATGGCCCTTGGTGGGGTTCGAGGGCGGAGCCCCCGTAAACTCTGTGATTTTAGGCATTTAATTACGGTCAGATGAGCATATTTTGTGATTGGCTAGGTCACTTATTTTTTTATCTCTCTCTTTCTTTCTTTTTCTCTTTAAAAAACTTTTTCAAAAAGTGAGGGGCCGGGGCTCGAGCCCCCAAGCCCGGCCGTTCTGCAGACCCTGACATACAGGCTAATAAATAAACATGTTTTTCGCCCGACTGTAAATTTGGGAATTTCTAATTGCCAACATGCAACAAACGCATAAAAAGGTGACTTCTTACAAACAAATCGAGAAAAAATACCTGAAAATCAAGTCATTTCAGCAACATTTGTAAATCACTGGTATCACTGATGATCTAATGGATGCATTGTTACTGTAAGTATTTGAGTAAGAATGTGAAGTGAGTAAATTTGAATAAAAATACCAAAAAGAGGAAAATATTGATGTATATTTGTTCACTTTACTCTAAGTTCAGTCCCATGCATACAATTTCGTGTCCTGTCGAAATCGTGTTTGGGGCGTATCAACTAGATTACAGTTCTTGCCACAGATTTTGGCATCATGATGAATAAGAACTGTTTCTTTTTATTTTCATCCTGAGTGACTGTTCTCATAAAAAAATATTAGTGTTGCAAAGATTAGGCTATGTAATAGTCTAGACCCTAATCTATGTCAGACTCTTCGAGAGGCTACGCCCTACCCGCGGCTAGATCTAGACGGTAGACCTCGAGTCTTTGATTTATATGCTCCTTCCGCGTTGCTCGCTTTGCTCTAATTGACACTTAATTACAGTTTTCGCTCTAGTTGTCCCACATTGCAGTTTGGAAGACTTGGCAGACATGTCTGTACTTACTTGCTAGATGCTCATGCTCCACCCTTTAAAATGCTTCTATACAATTTCTTTCACAATTAATGCCATGCATAACTAGAACGCCACTTTATCTTTAAGCAGGATATCGTTGGTCCCTTCTCTTATACATATTAGATATTTATCATTTCTATTCTTTAATTTCTTTTCTTTCCCAGGTGAAGAGGGAGAACCTGTTTCAACTGGTTTGAGGTGATTCCCCACCACGGCAAAATCTGGTTTCAGCATTTCTGATGACAAGATTCTATCGACAAGCTGATTTTGAGGGAAACTCTGTCCACTTGTGATATGGAAGCCCCAGGTATGGATCCTTGTGTCGAAGAAGGAGATTGCAGAGTAATTGTTAAAGTAGAACCTCCAGAACTTAAACCAACTTCCCTACCATTCTCTGGCCAGATCAGTTCTTCAAACTTGTCACAAAGTAGTGCATTTTCTTCTGAATCTTCCTCGCAAAGCACTGCCATGTTAGGAAAAGACTGTGAATTCTGTGAACAACCACAGGAAGAAATCCAGATTTTTGGTCCGAATTCCTCAAGAAATAGCAAATGTTCTTCAAGCCCACTACAAAGTAACATATTTTCTGCTGAAAGTTCCCCATCGAGCACTGCCATGTTAGTAAAAGATTGTAGGAACGCTAGTGCAGAGTGTATGACTGGTGCCAATCATGATGAAGGTATAAGAAAAGGGACAACTGAGAATATTAGCACTGAATCACCTGGTGTCCCTCAGGGTACATTAATAGGTACTCCAACAACTTCATTTCGTTCAAATGAAATGAGGACAAACCATTCTATGACTTCATTAGAAAAAACTTTAGAGCTTGTAAAGAAGAGAAAGAATGGGATAAGTAAGGTTGAGGGTGAAAGTTGCAAGAAGGCTAAGAGGAAGCGAAAACCAACAAAACCTATCAAGTTTATGGAATACTGCAGTGAAGCTGAAAGAATTGTTGTTGGAAACCTACCATCACCCAAAGCAACGGCTTCTTATTCAACAGATCAGGTTATGTTGATGGAGACAGATTCATCTGCTCTCAATAATGAACAGTTCTCACAGTCCTCAACCCAGCACATGTATTGTCTTCTGAACTTCAAGATATATGAATGCCTCCAGTGCGGCCTAGGCTTTGCCTCTGAGAAAGCAATGAATGTCCATATCCGAACCCATTCTAAAGAAAAGCCATACTGGTGTACAGAGTGCGACATCGGCTTCACAGAACATCAATTGTATATGGCGCACAAGCAGAGTCATAGGCCATGTAAATGTGACGAATGCGGTGCATGTTTTGGTAACGGTTCAACCTTGAAAAACCACAAGCTCCTTCACTTACAGTCAAAGAACTTCAAGTGCTCCGTGTGCCCCAAGATGTTCAAGCAGAGGGCTGGATTGACATGTCATATGAGGTCTCATACTGATGAGAGGCCATACCTGTGCAAAGAATGCGGCGCTGCCTTTGTGGACAATAAATCCTTGCAAAACCACATGTCAGTTCACTCCGACGAGAAGGCCTTCAAGTGCTCCGTGTGCCCCAAAATGTTCAAGCAAAGGGCTGGGTTGGCTCATCATATGAAGCATCATAATGATGACAAGCAATACCTGTGCAAAGAATGCGGGGCTGCCTTCGCTTACAACATACACTTGCAGAACCACAAGGCAATTCACTCCGATGAGAAGACCTTCAAATGCACCATTTGCCCCAAGATGTTTAAGCAACGAGCTGGATTGACTGGTCATATGAAGGCTCATACCGACGAAAAGCCGTTTATGTGTGAGCTGTGCGGTAAGAGCGTCAAGACGAAGTCCACCTTGAAGAAACATCGAATGATACATTCTGAGGAGAAACCTTACCAGTGTCCACTGTGTCCTCAAGCTTTCAAGCAGAGAGCCGGTCTTTCACAACACAGTCATAAACACGGCGAGGGAAACCCTTACTAACACGATGACTACTGAAAATTATAATTCCCTTAGGCTTAAAGGTATAGACCTGTTCTGGTCATGCGATTGCATTGTGAAAGAAACGTTGTGGAATGGATCAGAAAAGGTTGATCATCTAGCATGGTGTGTACTGCAAGGTTATGGAATCATCAACATGATAAGAAATTTGGCACAGTCTTGGTAAAGTTACAAGCACTGTACACAGAAAGATGTATATGGGACTACCCTATATCTATCCAGGTCGGATAGATATGACAATTTACCAAATATATCCCTGCAAAATTTGTATCATCACGTATTAGTAAAAACATATTCTTTCACATGATTGGTAATTAGAGCTTCTATTTCATTTTTTGAGAGGAGGGGTTTCCAAAGCTGGTCTTTACCTTTAAGTCCTTGTACAATACAGCTCAGAAGTAAATAAATGCAGGAATAAATTAGCGATCATTTTTAGTTTTCAACGTGAGATGCTTGATAATAAAATCTTTTTAAATAAGATGGATCAATTACTGTCACTGTCTTAGGAGTGTGGATTAGACCAAAGTTGAATTAAAGGGATCGTTTAACAATGTTGAATCTGAGATACACGGCCCTACGTGTTATCAGTGTCTGTGATATGGTGTAATATTGAAGCCCTAAAAAAATTGCGCTTCAAAATGATCAAGAAGTGCCTCAAAAAAGTAAAAAATCTTTGAGTGACCGGTTTTACCATACTCGTTTTCCCCAATTTTTCCCAATTTTCCGTCAGGCGACGGAATTTTGCAATTCTAATCATAAATATCTTGATAATCAGACAGGCGATCGGCTTGTAAAAGTCATGGGGTTCCTGACTGACCTAAAGGTTTATAATTATCATTGCATCATGAGCTAAATCCAGAATTTTATTATTTTCAGAATCTGAGACAAAGTTACCGGATCCCTTTAACCGAAAAGAATGTAGTAGAGAGAGAAAGCATGAGAGGCGGGTGGTGTTGACAAACTTTGTAGGGCAATCCAACCCTTGTAATGAGTTGATTCAAGTATGAAAGTAAAAGAATAACATGAACAGAATGGCAAAAATTTGAAATGAATCCGACCAATAGTGAGGAAGTTATGAATGATTGAAATATGAGATCACTTAAAGTCTATGCGAATCTCAAATTGGTAGTTCGGTCTGTGGATTGTGACGTAGGACATGGATAACTCGTATTTGACGTGTACAAAAATATCATTAATTTCAGATTTTTTCTTGTAATTCCCTTCTCCCTTGGGGCACTACTCAAAATGTATTATAGATAGCAAACCATAACATAGGCGCTCTAAAAAGAATAGACCCTCCTGAGCAATGAATTTTTGAAGAAATGTTTTGTAAAATCATTTTATATGTTGGAACATAAGGGAAAGTAGTCCGGCACTACATCACATTGACATAGCCAATTTGAAGTGCCCTTATATGTATAGTGATAACAACCTTCAAATTCATAACTTCCTTATATTTTGTCAGATTTAATTAAAACTTTCATCGGTTTGATTCTCTGACTTTTCCGCTTTCTTTAGAGTAGTTGTCTACTTGGGTTGGATTTTCGAAGTACTGCATGGAGCTTGATATAACTCGGGAAGTAAAGGAGTTGAGGTGTCATCGAGACCAGCTAGGATGGGAAAAAAACAAATGAAACGATTATAGTCTATGAAAAGGGGAAATAACTTTCGACATAACAGGGTTGACTAGTTATAAATATAAATAGGCAAGACACAAACACTTAAGTCTATTTTCCGCACAGCTTTTTACTTGTAGTTCTTCTTTTAATATATCCTTATTCATCTACACTACGCAGAAAATGTGACAGAGTGAGAGCGAGAGAAAGGAAATCCAACTAGTATCTTCAGTGGGGGGGGGGGGTGTACTTTCACGAGAGAGAGAGAGAGAGAGAGAAATGTTTGGTGGGAGCGTGAGCATATATCAGGCCCGATGTCAGGGAGGGTTCTAGGACAATTACATGAAGAGAGGAAACCAAAATTTGGCGGGCGGTATCTGAATTTCAAAGAGAAAACAACATTTTTAGAAAGTTCAATTTCTGCTCTTTCATATGACACCTCAATCAGGAAAAATGAGCCAGGAATAACAAAGTTCTGTTTGTTTAAAGTATTGCTTGCATTTCCATAGTTTGATAAAAAACGAGTTCGTTTTCACTGGCTGCCTGTCGTAGCGACAAACAAAGTTGACAAAAGACTTAACTCCATTTCGTTAAGCCCCCCCCCCCCCCCCCCCCCCCCCCCTCATAGGCCGATAATTCGCTCACTGGGGGCGAGGGGGGGGGGAAATAAGCACTAATTTTTTTTTTTTTTTTTTTTTACCCTTGAAAATTTGCAAAATCGCACCTCCCCCCCCCCCTGGATCCTCCACTGCTCGGGGCAGGGGAATTATACAGGACACATTCTAGGGGGCTCGCCTTGTATGGGCATTGGTGCAATAAGCAAAAACGTTTGGCGGGCAGAAGAAAAATCTGAATCGCCACCAATCTTACATGTAACATGCAGGCCTCGCGGAACGTTTTTCTAAGTGGAGTATTAACGATCAGGTAGGTATAGAGTGTAAGGGGCCAAATTCCTGAGAAAATATTTAGCGGCGAGTCAGCCAGCCGGTGAATAAACGGGGGGGGGGGGGGAGGAGGAGGGAGGAGGACTATTTTTTTCTTTCTTCCAAATTCGTGAAAAATTATTTAGTGCCGAATCAACACCCACCCCCCCCCCTCCCTCCTGAGCCAGGAGGAGGGTGCCCGTCTTCTTTTTTCTTTAAAAAAAAATTCAATTGACCTGTTTTCATTTGGCCAGGCACCCCCCCCCCCCCCCGCCCCTAGAGCCGTCAGTGGGGCTAAGCCCCATGGAGCTCAGGGGTTTTAGGCATTTAATTACGGTCAAATGAACATAATTTGATACTGGTAGGTTAGTTATTCTTTCTTCTCTTTAACATACTTTTTCAAAAGTGGGGCTGGATCCCCGCTGCTCTGCAAGCCCTGGCTGACATGAATTAAGGCTTCTAAATTAGTATATTTTTGCCTGACTGTAAATTTCGGAACAAATTAACGCATACAAAAGTATAATTTACAATAAAAATTAGGGGGGTTTCCCACAAAATACACACATAAAAAATACCAAAGGGGGGTTTTAACCCCCTAAACCCCCCCCCCCCCCCCCCCACCCACCCCCTGCCTACGCGCCTGACTAGCCCTCATCTCCCAGCCGCGCATATATTTTTTTTTACACAACAAGTGCCTTGAGTCATTTTCGCGAAAAAAATCCAAGAAGTGCTCTGGTGAAAGATTCGAAGTCGTCAGCGCACTTACACTATATGTGCAAGCACGTACACCCAGGGAAGGGAAGATGATAGAAAGGGGAAAACAAGGATAGTGGAGAGGATATTGAGAAGGGGAACAAAAGGAAATACATATAAGGAAAGAGAATTAGAGGATAATTAAGTCAAAGGAAGAACATAGAAATGCATAATTGAAGAGCTAAGAGGATCATATAGATCGATCTAGACTATGGAAAAACAGGGAAATACATAAAGAAGGAGAAACTTAATCTATCAGATTAAAACAAAGAAATACATAAAACAAAAGAGAAGAGGTAGAATGAAGGCGAACAAAAGAAATACATAACGACGGGAGAAGTGGGGATAGATTGAAGGAAAAACAAAGAAATATATAACGAAGGAGAAAAAGGAATAATAGAAGAAAAAGAAAAGAAATACATGACAAAAGAGAAGAGGATAGATTGGAGGAGAAGTTGGAGAACACAGAAATACATAATGAAAGAGAAGATGAGGTCGGGTCGCTTCGTAGTGTAGTGTAATGAAAGGGTCTGGACTGAAAGACTAGACATGCATCTGCTGAAAAAGAAAGAAAGATACGTCTAGATCTATTCTCCAAATTCTTATTCACATATTCTCTTTCTATGAAACAGATGATATAATGGATGCATTGTTACTGTAAGTATTTGAGGAACAATCTGAACTGAATCAATTTGAATGAAAATACCAATAAGATGAAAATATTGATGTCGAATTGTTCACTTTAATCTATGTTCGGCCCCATGCATACGATTTCGTGTCCTGTCGAAATCGTTGTGTTTGGAAAAGTTTGGGGCGTATCAGATTACAGTTTCGTGCCACAGATTTTTGTATCACTTTGAATTATTGAATAAGAGGTGCTTTTTATAATTGCATTATAAGTGACTATTCTCTTGTGAATACTGGTAATTTAAAGTGTGGTTTATGTGTGTCAGAATACTTGTCAATTTCTGTTGCAAAACATTTTAATTTTGATAGAGTAAAGGAGCCCGTAATCGGCCAGCTCCAGTTTTCGGCCGATTGGTTGGATACAAGGTAAAATCACTCTAAAATACATCGCATAATAGCATAACACATATCCCACACATACCATACCATGCCAGTGTCACTGAAGAACCACATTTGCAATGGAAAATATATCCTAAAATATCACATTTTAGCGATGTAATCGCCGGTCCCGCTACCCAAATCTGAAAAATCGAGTATCTTACGCGTGTCTGTAAGAAATATGGGTACCATAAAATGAGCTTTATTTCAAGTATTTTTCAGATTTAAAGCCCGATTTTGTGCTAGTCGCAAGCTCAAAAGTATGTCATCGCATGTATTAAATCAATGCAGCCGCACACCGCGACGCACACACGATATCTCTGTCTAATTCAGATTCCAACTTCCGATCACCGCTGTGCCTGTCTTCGGCCAGGCGAGCACCAGGGAGCTCCGGCGTGGGATACCTGCTCCGCCCGCTTGTGCTGTACATCAGCGCGGAAACGCACGGCGCGTGCGAGCGCTTCCTATTGACTTTGTACATGCGGCCGTAAACTGAAACGCTCGGCCGATAACGGGCTCCAAAACAGTGAAAATTGAAATGAATATTGTCATGGCAATTCGTGATTTTTTTCTGGGATTCTTTTTTTGTTTAAATAATTATAATATTTGCTTCATGATTTGAACAAGAAATGATAAAAAATAGGAAGTAAAGAGTCCTAAAAATAGGATTTTGTCTTAAGTGGCCGAAAACGGGCTCCTTTACTCTAGGCAAATTCATGCAAAAAAATATATTTAAAAAGTTGACTTGAAAACACATCACACAATTAGTCTCAACCGAGTCAGGAGCAAATTTGAAGAAATTATATTTTTAAATGTTGTAAAACCAAAGATATAAGAAGAAAACTGACCAAGTATCTGTACTAAAAATCGTACATGTAAAATTGGTCGTACACATTCGACAGCTGAAAATGACGCGCACGGTTGCGTTACGTGCGTTCTCGAATCCAAAATCATACCTCACACACACACTCTCGCCATACCGCGAATGGTCCGTCTTGGGGAGCTAGCCGGCTGAGAGTTTGCAGCGATACCAACGCAGCTTCGGAGCTCCGCAGCGCGCCATTTTAGCGGGACTCGGAAAGGTTTGCGATGGGAAGGCAGCGGCCTAGCTTTTTGCCCAAACAACGCTAGATCGGCTGCTGGCAAAATGAAAATAACTACGATCGAGAACATCGTCGGTTTCTTAACTTTTCAGTGAGATAATTCTGAATTCTAATTGAGACTATATAATAAATTAAATCGACAAAGAAACCTCGGTAGAACTCTTATAACTATACAAAAGCTTGTTTATTTCTTCATTTGACATTTTGTTTTCGACCATTTTTTCGTGCGCGAGTCAATGTAAACTATGTATTACCAAACTTTCAACACGCAAGGAACGGGGAACACTCGCGGACCTCGTAACAAATTCGTTGCAAAAAAAAAATTTCAAGGGTGATTTTGAAGCAGTGAAGAACATTGGCGCTGCGATGCGCAGAAATATACTTGAAAGAAACTTTTTAAAAAAATACCTGAATTTTCAGAAAATCGTATTTGTATTAGTGTACCTAGATGTGACTTGTTTATAAATCAGATTTTATGAAGATTTGTCGGGAAAAAATGTCAATTTTTTCCGTTTGGTGGTCATTTCTAGGCTAATATTTTAAAAGTCGCATCAGTAATGGGCCTGATGTTTCTCTTATCGTACTTGCATGTTATTTCTACATAGATTAAACATAGGATGGTTAAGGGTAAGACCAGATAACATTATAAAAAAGATATATCCTTCCACCCTCCCATATCCAAGTTTTGGGCTGATTATTGTCGACCCACCGCAGCAAGGCCATTCAAATTTTCGTACGCGCGCAAAGCGCCCTCTAGTGCCCCATGAATGTGCCTAATTTTGAGCTTGACTTTGCTTTGTGAAGTTTGTCATGTCATGTCGTGTGCATTCTAGTTCTGGATCTAGACTGTAGACTATTTCTAATTTTCAATTATACAATTTCTGTGAGAGAAAATATTTTTAATCTCACTTCTAGGACTAAATTAATTTTAAAGATTACCAACAATCTTTTGCAGATCAGTAGATTCTATCCATTGAATTGGTTTGACACAAACGAGGCCGAGGTTTGTATTTTACGGGAATTTCGCTTTGGCCTATTAATTTTTACGAGATTATGATAATGAAATGTTGATAAAATGTTGGCAAGCCACTGCACTAGCTGCCAAGTGAAATTGCTGTATTTATGATCTTTGATTTTTAAATAGTGTGTATTCACATGAAGGTCTTGTTTCTATTAATTGTAATACAGCCTACAGCATATTGGGTAGCTTAGCGAAATGCACGCATACATATACATGTAGCTTTGCTCTAATGGACTCTTGATAACAGTTGTTGCTCTAGTTGTCTCACATTGCAGTTTGGAAGACTTGGCAGACATTTTTATACGTATGTGCTAGATGCTTGCACCCTTTAAAATGCTTCTATACAGTTTCTTTCACATTGCCATGCATAACCAGAACTCAATGTTATCTTTCAGCAGGTTGTTTTGAGAGTAGGCAAATTTCCATCGGCCTCTTCTCTTATACACATTTATTAGATATTTGTAATTTCTATTCTTTTCTTTCCCAGGTGAAGAGGGAGAACCAGTTTCAACTGGTTTGAGGGGATTCCCACCACGGTGAACTCTGGTTGCAGCATTTCTGATGACAAGATTCTGTCGACAAGCTGATTTTGAGGGAAACTCTGTCTACTTGTGAGATGGAAGCCCCGGGAAACCCTTCAGGTATGGATCCTTGTGTCGAAGAAGGAGATTGCAGAGTAATCGTTAAAGAAGAACCTCCAGAATTTGAGCCAACTTCCCTCACATTCTATGGCCAGATCAGTGATGCCATTAGTCATGGTTCAAATTCTTCAGGAAATGGCATTTGTTCTTCAAACTTGTCACAAAGTTGTGCATTTTCTTCTGAATCTTCCTCTCAAAGCACTGCCACGTTAGGAAAAGACTGTAAATACTCTGGTCCATATAGTAATGAGATCGATGGATATGCACATAGCAGTAAGATTGATGGAGGATATACAAGCACAGGCAATCATGAGAGAAAACAAGAGGAGAATACTGAGAATTTCAGCACTGAACTGCCTAGTGTCCCTCAAGGTGCACTATTAGGTACTACATCAACTTTGGTTCGTTTGGATAATAATGAAGCAGAACCTCCAGAATTTGATCCCACTTTCGTAAGATTCAATAGCCTAGAGAGTAGTGAAGAACCATCGGTAGAATCCCAATCTTTGAGAAATGGCATTTGTTCTTTAACCTTGTTACAAAGTAACACGTTTTCTTTTGAATGTTCCTCACAAAGCACTGCCATTTTAGGAAAAGTCTGTAAACACTCTGGTGCGCATAGCAGCAAGATTGATTTAGGAGAAAGTATAACTGGTGCCAATCATGATGAGAGGAAAGAAGAGGAGATGCATGTGGATTTGACCATTGCACCACAGGATGTTCCTCAGGGTGTTCATCAAGGCCCACTCCTAGGTACTGAAAAAACTTCTATTTATTCAGATGAAATTAAAGCAGAACCTCCTGCATTTAACCTGACTGAACAACCACAGGAAGAATGCCAGAGTTTTGGCCCAAATACCTCTAGAAATAGCAAATGTTCTTCAAGCACATTACAAAGTAACATGTTTTCTGCTGAAAGTTCCCCATCAAGGACTGCAATGTTAGTAAAAGATTGTAGGAACTCTAGTGCAGAGTGTATGACTGGTACCAATCATGATGAGAGCATAAGAAAAGGGACAAGTGATAATATCAGCATTAAATCACCTGGTGTCCCTCAAGGCGCATTATTAGGTACTCCAACAACTTCTTTTTGTTCAAATGAAGTGCGGACAAACCATTCTATGACTTCATTAGAAAAAACTTTAGAGCTTGTAAAGAAGAGAAAGAATGGGATGAGTAAGGTTGAGGGTGAAAGTTGCAAGAAGGCTAAGAGGAAGAGAAAACCAACAAAACCTACAAAGTCAATGGAATACTGCAATGAAGCTGAAAGAATGGTTCTTGGAAACCTGCCATCACCCAAAGCAACGGCTTCTTATTCAACGGATCAGGTTATGTTGATAGAGGCTGATTCTTCTGCTCTCAATGATGAACAGTTCTCACAGTTTTCAACTCAGCACATGCATTGTCTTTTGAACTTCAAGCGATATGAATGCCTCCAGTGCGGCCTAGGCTTTGCCTCTAAGAAAGCAATGAATGTCCATATCCGAACCCATTCTGAAGAAAAGCCCTATTGGTGTACAGAGTGCGACATCGGCTTCACAGAACATCATTTGTATATGTCGCACATGCAGAGTCATAGGCCGTATGAATGTGACGAATGCGGTGCTGATTTTGCTGACAGTACAACCTTGCAGATCCACAAGCTCCTCCATTTACAGTCAAAGAACTTCAAGTGCTCCGTCTGCTCCAAGATGTTCAAGCAGAGGGCTGGATTGGCCAGTCATATGATGAACGCCCATCCCCAAAGCCACACTGATGATAAGCCATTCTGGTGTAAAGAATGTAACAAAGGCTTCACCCAGAATCATTCCTACAAGGCTCATTTGCGGATCCACTCAGGGGAACGTCCATACCTTTGCAAAGAATGCGGTGCTGCCTTTGCAGACAACAAAACCTTGCAGAACCACAAGGCACTGCACTCCGACGAGAAGACCTTTAAGTGCACCGTTTGCCCCAAGATGTTCAGGCAACGAGCTGGGCTGGCTTGTCATATGAAGACCCATACCGACGAGAAGCCGTTTATGTGCGAGCTGTGCGGACAAAGCTTCAAGACGAAGTCCACCTTGAAGAATCACCAAAGGATACATTCTGAGGAGAAACCTTACCAGTGTCCACTGTGTCCTCAAGCTTTCAAGCAGAGAGCCGGTCTTGCCTGCCACAGTAAGGTCCATGACAAGGGAATCCCTTATTAACACGATGACTACTGGAGAAACCTTACCAGTGTCCACTGTGTCCTCAAGCTTTCAAGCAGAGAGCCGGTCTTGCCTGTCACAGTAAGGTCCATGACAAGGGAATTCCTTATTTACACGATGACTACTGAATATTCTAAATCTCTTAGGCTTAAGTTCCTTTAGGCAATGCGTTTAGCAAGACTTCACATTCTTCATTGCCACAACCTATCTTTGTACCAATTTCTAGATTTGCCCTCAAGCTTACATTCAAAGGGCTAGTCTTGCTTGCTATAGTAAGGTGGGTGTGAAGACATTAAACCCATTGTGAACCAGCGAAGCTCAGGTGCACAGAGTTTCCAAGCTAGGAACTGTTACAACTCAACTACCTCGACTGATTCAACTTAAAGGGATCCGGTAACTTTGTCTTAGATCCTTTAAAAACAATCCTTGATTTAGCTCATGCTGCAATGATAATTAAAACCTTTAGGTCAGTCAAGAACCCCATGACTATAACAAGCCGATCACCTGTCTGATTATCAAGATATTTATAAATCAAAATCTAATTTTGCGTTTGCCAAACGTTTTTCATAACACTACAGTCTATTGGGTAAAACAAGTATGGTAAAACCGGTCACTCAAAGGTTTTTACTTTTATGAGGCACTTCTTGATCATTTTGAAGTGCAATTTTTTTGGCTTCAATATAACACCATATCACAGACACTGATAACACGTACATGTAGGGCCGTGCGTCTCAGATTTAACATTGTTAAACGATCCCTTTAAGAACTAGACAAGCCGTACATAGTCAAATTTGGGACGGAATGCCAAAAGTACAACCAACAACGAGCCATTGCCTCAGGGTCATGGAACTGGGAAACTCTTGTACCAAGAATATGACCTTGAGAAAATTTGATATGGGGGGGGGGGTACCAAAAATATGACCTTGAGAAAATTTGATATGGGGGTGGGGGCAATTGCTCACTCCCCTTCTGCTAATTATATTATTTGACAGTGCTCGATCAGTATTTAGATAAATGCTAAATATCATTATTCTTTGTATATAATGTACATGTGTACATGATAGGATCAATTTTCTTGCCATCATAGTCTTAGGAAGGTCTTAGAAAAATGGTTTGGAAAGACATAAACATTAATTCTTTGTTGCCTCCTGTGCCTCTAAGTTTTAGGTCTGCAGGCACAGACTGTAATGGGGCGTTGCAAGAAAGTTGAGTTGCAATCGATTGCAAATTGAAATATCAGTTGCAATCAATTGCAACTTGCGATCAATCACAACTTTCTTGCAACGCCCCATAAGATTGACGTCAATAGCACTTCTATTGCATATACATGCCTTGAACCTCATGTGTTGGATTATGTAGAGCTATTAATATGCCCACCTCCAGGGCCCCATTTCACAGAACTTACTTGTCATCAGTGACAAATGACAGTTTTTGTTATAAGCTAGTGAAATCCTTGCTTCTGATTGGTTATCACACTGATTTTTGTCATTTGTCATTGAAAAAAAGCTTGTGAAACAGGCCCCTGGTATCATCACTTTCAGTCAAACAAAGATTTTACAACATATTGAGGGGTCAGTGACACAAACACGTAACTCCATTTTGGCCATTTTGAGAGAAAGTGGTTTATGTGTCACTGAGCACTTGGGCCTTAAGGATTTAAGTCTATGTTTCACTAGCCATTGACTTCAATGGGGTGTTGGGTGGAGTTAAGTCTTTGTGTGTTCCTCGAAAGCCCACATGTTTCTGAACATTTTGATATCAAATACTCATTTTGGCAAAATATAGAGTTATATCTTTGTGTCACTGAACCCTCGATATAGATTTTTGTGAAACAATACGCAATATATGAACTCACATTTTCACTGCTTTGTAACTTGCCTGCTTAGAGCCCCAAGGGCATTAACTCTGCGTGAAAGTATACAACTTAATGGTTCAAATCTGACTGACATGAGCGCTATGCAGACAAAATGTTTTGCCACTGACCAAAAGACGACAACTCAAAAAAGCTTTTTATCAAATGGAAAAGGTGCCATATTAATTTGCAACTAGCATTATAACTATCAGTATTGTTTGCATCAATTATTTTTCCTACGTATAGTAGATGTGTATTTATTTTTGATCATGTATTTAAATTTTTACTGTCTGATCTTATCAGATATAGTTATCATCAGGAAGTTTGTTTAAAGCATACATGTCACAAACTTTTTGCTGTCAAAATCTATTGTTATGTTATGTATTGTTTTAATGTACATGTAGTTTTGATATATCAAATTCATGTTCTTTAACATACATGTATGATGATGTACATGTATGTCAACATTTTATGATTTTTTTTGCTTTTCTATTTTAATTTTTCAGTTTTCATGGGTAAATATTTATGAATTTTATTCCATAAGAGATATTACCAATGTTTAGAAGACGCAATGTTCTATATGATAGAGCCAGTATATCAAAATAGAAATTGTCCATGTCTTTTAGAAAATTTAGACTCGCACACCTTTGTTTGTTTGTTTTAAAATTCAATTTGGGTCCATTGTAGGGGCCAGGAGGCAGGAACCTGACGGTAAAATTTCATGATTCAGGGGAGTGTTTCACAAAGACTAAGATCAACATTCAGTTGGACTTAACTATGACAGGCCATTCATGTCACTGGTTGCTCTCACCATTATGGTCTTTAGATAATGTTTTTTCCTTCGATAATGAATTATCAAAAAATATAAATTCTGTAGATTTGTGACCATGATTTGTACGTCCCTTGAAAGACAAATACCAGTGAATGGTGAGAGCAAACAGTGGCATGAATGGCCTGCCATTGTTAAGTCCAACTTAAAGTTGATCTTAGTCTTTGTGAAACACTCCCCAGGGCCCCGTCTTACAAAGAATTGATATCAATCGCAACTTATTTGTGACTGATTGGAGGACTTACGATTGATTTGGATCGATCATAACTTTTTGTAAGACGGGACCCAGATCTCAGAAGACTCAGAATAAGAAGGCATGAAAAGCAATGTCTCGATGTGTTCACTGGTTTAGTGGCAGTCATTGATATAATTTATTGATTTGAATTATATTAAAAAAATGGGGGGGGGGGGGGGGAAGGTACCCCCCCCCCCCCCCTCATGTGAGTTACTGTTGACAATAAGGGAATTTTGATCATGGATGCCTACTTTTGTATGCAACATTCAATCATGTCTAGTAAGATATTTGATGTACTTTTATCTCAAAACTGATATTATTTTTGTATTGATCAAGACATGCATGTGATTTTACAAGAAAGTTTTCAGGAACAGTATGAAGTTACATTATTTAGTTTTTTTTTCATTCTATCTGATGGTGAATACCGTTGTTAGTTGATGGACATAATTTTTTTAGAAGCTTTACTGAAAGTAAGGGAAGGAAAACAATAGTGGCTGGGAGACACACTTTCCCTTTGTGCAAGTCCAAGTCATTGTGTCCCATAAATTTAGCAACCATATGTCAGCTTTATATTTGATCATTTTATGAAGTTAAAAGATCCACCTTCCATAAGATAATTCAAAGTCATTTGATGTCAATATGTGGGCCATGTTTCATAAAAACTTGTTATCGGTAACAAAGGCTAAATTTCTATGACCAATTTGCTCTCAGCCAATCAAATGCCCCGATTTCAGTAGCTTATAACAGTTATTGTAACTTGTATTCAATGACAAGTTTTATGAAACAGGGCCTTGTTCCAAACTATACACTATTTATAGTTGTCAATATATGGGTCATCAACTCATCAACTGACAATGTTTTAGAGTTGCTCATTTACACCTGAAATACAGAAGCATCTCAAGAAGAAATCTTGCCATTTCAAATTCCTCATAGTTTCATTAAGAAAATTGTTCTCTTTGTATTTTTTTCTTTATCAGCAGTCAGTCCCACGTTACAGCAATTGCTTGTTATAATTAAATGTGAGGGCATTTAAAGGCAAGGCATTAAAAGACCGGATATTTTACTGACTGTAATGTATTTTTTCAATAATTTTCAACCTTTCAATGAAGGCTTACAATATACATTGTAGAGCTATTTCCAGTCTCTGTACCCAAGCATTGTCATGCCCGTGTCATCAGTTGGTGATGCATTGTCGGGCATGGTTGTCGGGACACTGTGAGCAGTAGAAGGCAGTATACATAGATCTTGAGTAGTGTCGGTAGAATGCACTGCTTTTTAAAAAGAGCAATCATTTTCACGTGACAACTCATTTTTTACCTTCACCAGAACTGTTAACTTTTCTGACAGAATCAGAAACGGTGAAATGTGACAAAGTATTGATAATAGAAAAGCTATGAAATATCTATATGAATGTATCTGATTCTGCAAAAAAAGAATAAACATATATATTATGCATTAATGATGTTTTATACCCATGTAGGTCCTTCTATTCTTCTTCTATCAGTATAATGTTTACATCTCGCTAAAATTATGTATTATTGCATATAGTATTCAGGCAGAATAAAATAATTTGTGTATAACGCATGTAATTCCAAGGTGTATGCGAGTATATTTACGTTTAATAAAAATTGTTCTTTATGGAGAGGATTATTAGATAGATTGAGAGAGGCGATAAAAACAAAGATATGATAGATAGAGAGAGAGAGAGAGAGAGAGAGAGAGAGAGAGAGAGAGAGAGAAAGAGACATGGACACAGATATAATATAGAGAAAGGGAGAGAGGGGGACAGAGAGAGAGAGAGACAGATAAAGACAGAAATAATAGAGAGAAAGAGAGGGACAGATAAAGACAAAGAAATAATAGAGAGAGAGAGAGAGACAGATAAAGAAATAATATAGAGAAAGCGAGAGGGGGACAAAGACATAATATAGAGAGGGAGATAAAGACAGAAAATATAGAGAGGGGACAGATAAAGACAAAGAAATAATAAAGAGAGAGAGAGATAAGAAACAAACTGACAGAACATAATCAGAACAAGGTGAGAAAGAGAGAGAGAAAGAAAAATCACGGATGCACAAAGAGGGGACCGAGAGACCAACATAAAGATAGAAAAGTCAGTACAGACAAGAATGAGACAGATCCAGAGACGGGGGGGGGGGGGGGATAAGCATATAGACAGAATATATAATACATACATATATAAACCAACTAATACAGATAAGGATAAAGAAAAGTTAGTAGGAACAGAGTGTGAGATGAGAGCTAGAGAGAGGACATAGAGACAATCTAGAAGAGGCAGCTATATAGCTATATAGAAACAGAAAAGAATGGACAGAGCAGAGATCGATCGAGAGAAACAATGGCAGAAAAGAGATGGAAGAAAGAGAGACAGAGCTAGGAGAAGGAATGAATGAAAGAGGGGCGGGTATGAAAATGAACTTGAAGTGAAATTTTATTCTTCAAAATATATCATCGTCATATGATGATAAAAATGTTATTTATAATTAAGCGGGCACAGCCAGACAATTAAATGGCGCC